GCTCCTCTTCTCTCCTGCTTTCTCCCACCAGTTTATCAGCTGGCAACAATCGGGTATTTGGAGATGGGCTCCACAAAAGGTTACAGTTAGTTTCGGTTACTCCGGGAACAGTGCCCACCCGTAACTCCAATCTATTGTTTAATTAATTTTGCTGCTGCTTCCGTTGGTTTCCAACAGCTTTGGAGGTTATTTAAATTATCTAATTTCTAAATTTCAGGCCAACAGGTCGTATACGTAATATAAGGATATAAAGTCTTTTTTAAATTTATAAAATGTTGTAGGAACAATTATTTAAGCCCGTTTCTCAAAATGCTTCAAGATTCAATTTTTTGTACTACTAGTCGTATACGTAATATTATTTATTCTATTCCTAAGAGAAAACTTTTGTGCTGCACTTTAACGGGAATTCACTGTAATGATTGCTAAAGAGTGTGTGCTCCTGGTCCTATCGTTGGCAGGCAGCTTGTTGTAACAGTTCATACTACACATCCTCCCCAGCCAACTCCTCCAGTTTTAAGCCAACATCATTTGTTATCGCTGCGTATATTGCCACTGCTAGTTTCACGTCTAAATACGTTGAGTAAGTTTCTTACAAGGGGAGTCTGTATGCTCATATGTGTGCATTTATAAGCGAAAAAAAATAAAACAAACTTTTATTTATACAGTGAGCGCATTAGAGCTCGTCCTGTAGCTTGACAAAGTAACAACTTCCTTGACAGTTTCGAAGTTTTATTATTTATTTTATTGTTTGTGTTTCGAACTTTTTTTTTGCAATTTTAATGGATATTTTTCTTTTTACCACACAAAAAAAAAAAATTATATTTAAATATCAACTTCATAACTTGATGCCAACAAAAACCAACCTGATAGCCACGCCCCTTTGATGGCATGCTCGGCACTAAACTAATACTAGACTGACCCGCAAACATAAACCCAGACGACACAGAAAAACCTAAAAAAAAAAAATAAATAAAAGGAAACAAAACTAAATGTGAACAACAAGCAAACAAAAAAGTTGCAACAAATGTGAGAAAAACGGAAATAAATCTAACAAAACGGTTTTAGTAGCTTTTTAGTAGCCCTCTCCCCATACAGCACCACAAGCACCCCACTGAAAGTTATATCTGAATACATGTAGGGGTATGTAAGCCTGGGTTTTTGATTTCATGTTTCTTTTCTAGCTTTTTGTCAGAGGAAGAAACGCAGCCATGTAAATACGATACATATATGTAACACCCAGCATGTAAAGGCAAACTATGTACATATGTGAGTCATATGTTACATGTGTCAACTTTTATGCCTCGTAAGGGCAATGTTTTCACAGAAAAGAAAAGATTTGTTACATATTTCGTTGAAACAATAGAAAAAGAAACCGAAAATTCAATGCTCTTACTTTAAGATTTTCAAACTACACTTTATTATAAAATATAGCTTTAAATATATGCATAATCATATAAACATCCTTTTAAATTCAAAATTTTATTTAACCCCAAAACCTAGAAAAAACTTTACTACCCCTTTTCTGACAAGTCACATTACTCACAACAAATAAAGTTTGTGGGTTTTTTGTTTTCGACATTCCCTAGGTGAATGGCGCCCAAAGCTAATATTTTTTTTTGAATCCGAAATTTATGTGTAACGATTATTTCAGTTGAACGAGTACCCCTCAGTCCATCGACCACAGAATAGAATCATTATTTACACATGTAAGCAAATTGAATTTTTTGTGAGTCTCCCTACTCTAAACTTTATTCCAAAAAAAAGGATGTATTATAATTGGGAGATATCCTGGGGTTTTTTGTGAAAATTTCAAGGGTCTTGAAGATGCACATTTACCGACACGTTCTAGCCATTTTTATGACGGAATTCAGACAAACCAAGTACATTTTTGAATTCAGTTGGAATATGCAATTACACAAGGATGACTGGATGGGCACATCCTGATTATCTGCATCTCCTGCTGCAGGAAGCATCATCCTGGAAAATGCCGCATGTGCAGCTCGCATTTATTTCTAACCCAGGACCATGACAGTCGTTTGTTTTTGGTCCTGGGCATTTCGGCCTGCTCGTTAAGTCATTTAAATTAGATTGCATTTCGGCCAACGTGCTTGGCATATTCGATTATGCGGGCACTGTGGAAACTGGTTAGACAGGATAAACTTTAAGCTCTATTTAATATTTTTTTGCACTACATACCTATGAGTTTTTCTAACCTTGCAGAGGAAGCAGTCATCTCCGACCCTATAAAATATATTATTGATCAGGATCACCTCCTAAATCGATATAAGTATGTCCGTCAGTCTCTCGATCCAGCTGTATGTTCGTCTGTTTCTAAGCAAACTTATCTTATAATTTTAAAGCTATCTAGCTTTTTATTTAATCTTAAATAACTTTTTTTTAGAATTAAGACTCACATTTATTAAAATAGCCTGACAGCGGCAGGACAATAAGCCACAACTCAACCCAGAGAACCGAAGATGCAGCCATTTTCTGATTTTTATGAGCTTCAATTTATATGATTCCCTTATATCCGCTCCATGGCAGACGCTTTAATGGGCATGGGTACTGCAATCCCGTAGTCCTGTAGCCAGGACCCTAGCACAACACACACGTTTAAACAAAAAATGGAAAAGAAAAAATAAGTTTCAAGTAAAGTGGAAATGTATCATAAAATTGCTTCCCATTTTGCAAGGACTCGCATGTATAGTAAGTGTCTTTTTTTGTGCATTTTTTTATTAAAGGAAACGTTTAAATTATTCATAAAAATAACTTGATTATTTTGAGGGTAATAATGGAGGGAATAAAGGAAAGGAGGGAACCCTAAATGACAACTTAATTCATCAGCAGTAAGAGTCATTAATTTTATAACAATGGCTCCTGCATTCAAATAATTTTCCCTACTTTTAAGCTTAACTTTGCGTAATTCCGCATAATTTGGAAGCACATTTAAATCCATCTTTAAACTGAATGCCATTGAAATATTTAATACCACTTAAAAACATTGTTACTCAAAATCCCCTTTTTTAACGACAACTCTTAATGGGACAACAATAGTAGGAACTGTCACGTCCAATCTGTTTGCAATAATAAATTTTTATTAATTGACACGACAACTGACTGTAGAGGTTTACCGTTTTTTTTTTTATTTTTTTGTGTGAATTTTGAAATAATTCCTTTTGATGGTTTTTGAGTTTTCGGGCTATTTCCTTACTGCCAATTTAATTGCGCGACCAGACTGCGAGGCAATAAAATTATTTTACGATTTTTTCCTGGACTCCATTCCCATTTTTACCTCCCGGCTTTATTTTCCGTCTTGGAAGTGAATCAAATGAAAAGTTTAAGTTGATTTTCTCAGGCTGTTTATATTCAGGTGGCCGTTGGCAATCCTCAAGGAATGGAGGTGGAGCTCTTCATGGCCATCTGTGGCTTACTTTGGTATTGCTGTTGACTTCTGAGTCTGAGTTCTCTGTGGCTGACTTTGTCCCAAAAGGCGACGAAATGTTGAAGAAGGGCAGGCAGGAGTCAAGTTTCTTTGCCAATGGCAACCATCATGAAATTCCTGGCAAGGCATTCCCTATATGACGCTGCAGACAAAAGAAGACTCTGGTGCAGAAATGCAAGTGAAATCAAATAGACCAGAACAAATACTCCTATGCAGTCTTATATCTTATACATATAGAAATCCACCATTCAAGTGAAATAAATCTAAGAATATTATTTAAGATTTCCCTCTAAGATACACTAAACTAAACATGTAAATGCTAAGACACATATTCATTAAATAACACATCAACTCTGTAGCCTAATTACAAGCATACATAGAAGACCCTGTAACAGAACATAAAAAATTTAACTTAACACATAGGACACCATAACTTTTATTGTTTAGATTTTGCCTTCTCGCCTACACAAATTGCCAGGCATTATAGTGTTGGCTCGTTTATGGAGAAAATAAGAAAGTAAGAGAAGACAGTACATGACCAAGTAATGCCAGGCATAATCATAAAAGGACGTGGCGCCTTGGCTTTCAACGTGTTAAAGCCACAACCACAACACAGAGTTCAGAGTTCATACCCCAACGGCAACGTCCCTCTCACTTAGTAGGCTTGGTGTCTGCAGATTAACTCGAAGGTCGCTGTCTTCCCTACCAACCACTCTTCCAAGAACCATGATTTAATTAAAATCTACATGTGCTAAGTAGATTTTATTCTTTGTTTGCTTATTTGGTTTATTTGCCTATTTTCTAGCATCTTCTGTTCGCTTTCCGCCTGCTGGCCATAATTGATTTAGGCCTTTACTGCATTAAGCGGCAGTGTCATGTCAGAAAAACTTCCTGAAGGCCCAGGAGGCGATTCATAGTTCCTGGAAAAATACGAATCCGGACACAAGTAGCTACGAATTTATCTTTGATTTATTAAAGGAAAAAATGCCTTGCCCTTCAGGCCAAATTAGTTCTGCTGTCAAACTCAGTCAGTTCTAAATAATTAGTATTATTTTTCAGGAATATATTTATTGAAAAACCATTGTCCTACGTAAGTAAAACTATTCTGACATATAGCTACCGCTATTAAAAAATGCCTGTAATTAAATGTCAAGTTTTAATTAGTTTCTGGTAGATATTGATGTGGTTTGACCGAAATACCATTTAATTTCATATTTAATGAAATTTAAAAGATTTTTTTGTCATAAATGTAAGTACCAGTTAACCCAAATATTGATTTATAATTTGCGTCAAAAATAAACAAACCTCAATTAACACCTTGATAATTCATAGCTTTCACTTAAAGATCTAAAGATTAAATTATTATTTTTCATTTACTAGTAAACCCCCCAAAGTACTAATCTTGATAAGATTCCAAATATTTCACATTGTTTACGTTTGTGATTTATAAAGTGTTTTAATTAAATGTCAACAAGTCAAATACATCAAAGTTTGATGAGCTTAATTATGATGATTATGACTTGAATTTTATTAGTAGAGAAGGATATGGGATACTCACATAATGATTTAATTCCTTGCTGCTGTTGAGTTTCCGGTTGGGTTAAGTATTGCAGCTGCATCGACCAGGCTCTTGAAATGCTTATAATTATTATAAGGACTGGCATTGGCGTAACAATGCAGGACGCCAAGGACTTGCCTGGCTTGGCCATTGTCCTTGCAAATATGGTTGATTTTTATATGTAAATTAATCACCTATATAGCCGTTATTTCATAAACGTTATAGTGTATTTGTGTTCACATAACTACTAATATTGTTTTAGAAATCGTGCTGGTTTTGGAGTCTATAACCTAAAATAGAAGATTAAATTGTTAGTTAATTGAAAGAGAATGTTTAACAAACATTAATTTAACTCCATATCTAGGCCTATATTTTAAGAAATGTCCTTGGTAATAAATTTTCCCCTTATCCCGTATCAAAGTGTCGTAATATATATTTTTTCCGATTCTGCATTTATACACAGACACATTTATTTATTTATTTGTGTTTGTTAAATCCCGCATATATTGTCTGATGGACAGTTGCTTATCGTCCTGTTGGTGTCCTTCGGAAACCTTATCCAATGCTAACAACTGCATTAATATTTACATCCCGCTCACCGCATTCAAATAGTGTTTTTTTCCCCGGACCGTGAACATAAATTGTGCCTGACCTGCTAGACCTTGATCACTCTGAAGTGTCGTGCTAAAGGCCAAAATCCAATTAAAATGTTAATTTTTCCACAAACTATCGCCAGTGTAACTTTGTGCAGTGGCAACACAGTGTGTGAGAGCTGTTTTAATTTAAATCCCACCCAACAATCGAACCAATAGAGATGGTATCCATCGAAGGCACCTCCACCTCCCAGTGGCGTCGAGTACTCGTATAATCACGGCATTTAAGTGATTTTATGCTACCTGGAATACCTGTCGCTATTGTGTAATGAGCTGTTTGTTGCTGCGACGCCAATCAAACAATGGTCATCAAATGAACATTGGAATCAGCTTAAAGTGCATGTTGTAATTGTTATTTCCATGGTATTGATGGTTAATTGAATTCTGTGGTTGTCGCATTCGGCAATTGTCCAATTCCTTTAGGGTTCAGAAGTGAACCACTCCATCCCACTCCAGAGTCCTTCAAATATTGGCCGTTACTTGGTCTAATTAACATTACCTATTGGTGTATCTAGAAAGTGAAGAAAAATAAAAGCAAACGGGGCCTGTCTGGCTTTTGTCTACTTTCCTTTACTTCAGATATCCAAATACAAGTTAATTAAACAAACTTGGCGGCACATTAATCACCTGGACATCGGCCAAAAAAGCAAAACATCACCTGGAGACCACTTGATCTTAAAGATGCTCAACTCCCAGGCCAATTCAATTAAAAGGACACGAAAGGACAGACTAAAGGTCTAACAAATCGGTTCAATTTTAATGTGTTTCCTGGATATTGCCTAGCATTCAGGATGAGAACGAACTCCTCCTTAGACATATGTTTCTTTCTTTATGAGCCCGGAAGATTAATGAGTAACGAGCTCATCTAAGCGCCACTTAATTAATTGTCAGGAAAATGGAATACCAAAAAACTTGAGAGTCTCTAGGATCAAGTTTTTTCAACCGGAACCCAACCCTTAAAGTAACCTTTTAATTCAACAACTCACTGGGACAGATAATAACTTCAAAGAGATTTTGGGGCATCGATTATCGTAGATTACAGATTACTTTTGCGGTTAAATTAATGTCATTATGGATTTAAATTTCATATTTTATTTAAAAAACTTTCTTTGTGTAATTAAACCACCAACCTGTTAATCAACTTTAATAAAATAACCGAAACGTGGACTTGGCATTTTATTGACCCATAAAATATTTCAAATGTGGTTTATTTTTATGGTTTTTTCAAGTTTATGGTTTTTATAAATAATTACTCATTCCCACTACCCACTACCCATATGTCTAACCACGAAAACTCATCTGAGATCCGGGCTCATTTCAAAGTCAATCCGGCCACGTGCTCATTAGGTGTTTCTCTTCCTTTTTTCCGGAATTTGGCCAAGAACAAAAAAAAAAAACACAAGAAACTCGAAAAGACTTCAAAAACAGATAAGACGAACTTTGAAAACATTCCACCTGAACATGGAAAAACTTTGATTTTCTTGCTAAAAAAGAGAAGAAAGGAAGAAAATTTGCGCAGAGAACTGTCGGTTGTTTACGGCAACTGACACGCATTTGAGCCAAAAGTCTGCAAGAAATTTGTTTTCTTTCATTTTCCGCCATCGCCATCGCGAAACTTGAAAGGAGCTCCGTGGCATTGGTAACAAATGCATTTTCGATTAGCATTAAATCACGCCAACCGTCACAGTCAATTTCCGATGAGAAATAAATTTTTCCCATTGATTTATTTACATAAGTTTAAAATAAAGGAATTAATATGACTTGCCTTAAGTTCCAGCAGATCGAGTGCATCCATTTAATTTAAAAACATTTCGCTGCAATTCTTCATAAGTAATTCTGTCTAGAGACAATATCTGGCCGCATAAAGCGGCCCCGATTCAAAAACTACACTTTTCTTTTTAGCACATGACACTGAGACAAATTGAAACCGGTTCCTTGTTTTTATTTTCAGTGTAAAAAAGCCGGAAAAACTGTTGGAAAAACACGTATCTTCAGCATTGGAGTGGTTTTATCCGCGTGAAACCGCCGCACCGATGTTGAAACGCGGCATCTGCGTTATATCCTTTGGTGGCGAACTTTACACGCAGCGCCAGGAATTTCGAACCGCGTCAAAGGAGCAAACAGCACGTGTGCCGCGACTTGAAATTCATTTGATACTGGATATTGCGGCAGCCGAGACCGGAGCTTTTTCTTATTGTTTTTCCCGCTGTTTTGCCGAGCCAACGAAGTGCTATCCGAGTGCCACCAAATCAACGAGTGGCTTGGCACAGGATGTGTGGCTGGTGGTGCACTCCGAAAATTTTCAAAACACGGCGAATTCAAAAAGGGACTTTTAATTAAGGAGACATTAAGGAGAAAGGGGAAATAGAAAACCTTGTATTTTCAAAGGAAATTGTTGCTTTACGTGTTTCTTTGGGAAGGATTCATAAATTTATTCAAAAATAATAAATTTTAAGGCTAAGGTCCTCATCATAAATCTAGCTATGTATTTTTCTTAAAAAATATATATTTAATAAAGGCCTATTTGGCATTTAAAACTAAAATTCCCGCAAGGGAAAATCACTTATTTTGTCCTTTTAATACTTACCTTTGAGAGCAGTTTAGATCTATATACCGTTTTTCAGGGGATTTTAAACTGCTTCTTACAGTACTAAAGGACTTTTGAACTGCTTTATTTCATAAACCCATGTAAACTGCTTTCATCTCCATGCAAGAAGTTTAATACTGCTTGCTCAACCCAACCAAACCCAACTCTGAATATAAGAATATTATCTCCCCAGTAAATCAAAAAATTCAATCCTTTTCGTTTACTTCACTTCTTTCAACTTTATTTAATTTATGCAAATCGTGTAATCCTTTACATATACAAATGAGATTTAAAACTTGAAAATAAAGTCTTGCTTATGGAACCAAGAATCGACTAAAACGCTCTTGTTTTGAAAATATTGCGGAGAAATGCATTCACATCATTCAGAAACCTATGAATAAAAAAAAAGTATAATCGTGCTTGAATCGGTCGTTCGCTTTCAAAATGCAATTGGAAATGTTATGATTTGGTTAACATTAAATCAGTTAACACGCGCGCGCCTCCACACAAACAAAAACGCAAATAAATACAATAATGACATTTTGGAAAGTTGTAGAACTTTTTAAACAATTTTTTAAAGCCGTTGTATACAAATTTAAAAGTTAGGTTTTCTCATCTGGGAGAAAAACATTTTAACATGTTTTGTACAACATACATATTTTTTGTTTGGGGCTTTTTAACTAATATAAGTTTGAATTTACTAGATTGTTAGTGTACACTATTATCGGCATCCACAGGAATTTGCTCGTATTGCTTTCCTTACACAAATCAGACGAGAATCAGAGTTAATGAATGTGAATGGCTTTTTGAGTTTTGACTGGTTTTTTTACTTAGTTTTTTGACTGAAAGTTCGATTTTGTTTTTTTTACTAATTGTGAATAATTAAGAGCTCTTTCACTATTTACTATGACGCGTTTTTTGTTTTCTTTGCATTGCTGCAGCTGCTGATGATGTTGTTGTTGTTACCATAGATAGATAGAGAATTAAGCGTACCTGACGCTTAGAATCATTTGAGCTTAGCGTAAGTATCGACTTTTTTGTGAAACAGATTCAAGTACTCAAGGGCGGCGACGCGAGTCTGGTTCAGGGCTTGGTTGATGTTTTCGGGCGAGAAGCGGCCACTGCATTGCAAAGATTTTTTTAATAAAATAGTGTCTTTAAATAAAGAAAACAACCCCATTTTCACTTACACTAGCACCTTTTCCTTGATGAGCGTGGCAGACTTATCGTAGCTGCTGACAGCGAAATCACTCACACCCGCAGCGAAGGCTTCAATCTTTCCAGACAGATTCGGCACGTATTGGTCAACCTAAAAGAAACAGAACATCTTAACAATAGAACCAACAGTACCCAAGATTAAGTCAAAACTGGTTTGCGCATCTGCGACATCCAATGACCTCATCTCCTCTTGCCGTATTAAATACTCACAAACTTGGCCACCACGGGCCACTTGGCACTGAAGTATCCCTTGCCGTTCTGGAAGATATTGCAGGCGGCATTCCGCGATAGCTTCCACAGATCGACGCTGGTCTTGACCACGGGCTCGGCATACGGCGGCACATTCACCTCCGCCCACTTGTAGCCACGAGCACCAGCACCCATGACCGTGTACCAAGTTTTTTCCACATGAGGCAGAACTCCAGCGTTCTTCAGCACCTTGCCGGTGGCCGATTTCTCGAATACGCCCTTGCCGTTGGTCTCCGTGTCGTAGTACAGAGCACCGGCGATCAAGGCCACGATAAAGAGGCTGCCCAGCGTCCATTTGCAGCATCCGCACTTCTTTTTCTGTGCCGCCGCATTCTGTTTGTTCTTCTTCTGTTGAGCACTGCTCTTCTCCTGGACGCTCTTTAAAGTAGGGGTAGAAAAATTGTCATTGTTATCATTTCGTTTTTTTTTACCTTTTTTTTATATTTATTTTTTTGTGTTTACCTTCTTGGTAGCGGGAGCTGGTTTGCCACCCTGTTTGTTACTTTTCGGTTTAACCTGAGCCATTTTCTACTTTAATTTCAGTTAGTTTCGATTAGCAAAGAGTATTTGAGATATGCCTCAGCTGTTCACAAAAGATATTTAATTAATTATTGTTTTTATGAGACTGACTGAGACTGAAGCGGGCTTTGCGAAGCTTTCAACTCAAGCTTTTAAAAGGAAAAGTACGAAGATTGCGAACACTTTTTGAACGGATAAGAGCGCGATGACCTAAGAAATCGCAAATGGCAGTAATTAAAACACGTATTCGTGCGCTTTCAATAGATTCAACAAAATATTTCACGTATGGATATAAAAATAAAACAGAAAATTCAAAATTGGCGGAAAAAAGAAACTAAGATCGTTTGCGCTGACTTTTAGGTAACAATAAAAACTATATTTTATATTTTTTTTTTTTATAAAAGCTGCTAGACAACTAACTGGAAAGCTAACAAGTTGAATGAACTATGGCCTAAACGAACTTTAAAATTCTTTTGTGCGTTTTGAAACACAAGAAAGAAAGGCAATCCAATGCCAAAGGGAGAAAGAAGAAAATCAGGGTCACTGTGGACATGCCACGTGTTGAAAGCAACCTAAATTGGGAGCTCTTCTGCTGCCGATGACGATGCCGCGGTTGCTGCTTTCGTTCTCTCTCTGCTTCTTCTTCTTTGGCTTGTTATTAAGGTTTGGTGGTTCTTGTTTGGACTTTCGATTCGCTATCGTGGCAATAATGCGTGTTTTTGGCTGGCAAGAAAAATGCCAAAATTGCATTAAGAGTGAAAAGAGGGCGGTGGTGGTGTGCGCATAATCAAAAACGGGAGAGAATGAGACGGAGACGGCAGGGCAGCAGGGTGGTGGAGGAAGGGAGGCGGCCAATCGCAGCTGGAACACATCAGTCAATAAGAGAAGAAGTGACGCCGAGACTAGCAGCGCCGGCGGCCAGCCAGATCATCGAATTGGGGCGCGGGCCGCGATGGCTGATAAGACCGGAGTCGTATGTTAACTGATAAAAGTACACACTAATATATGATCCCGAGATGCCGATGGATGCCTTCTAATCTTTATTTTTTCGAAAGCAACACGTCCGGTCGAAGAAATTTAGCGGCAATTGGACGGATGGACGGCTGGACGGTGGCCCGCATGGCAACGCTATGGGAAAACTGCAGCTAACACACATACATACGCACAGACACGCATACAGACACAACCGTTAAAGATGACGAGCACACCTAGGGCTCCAAAACGAAGCGCACTTTGCACAGTAACTGCACGATAATTAAGGTGCGGACCATTAATTTATGCGCACAGAAAATAAGCTACCAGAGATGAAAAGCCAGTTGAGAGAGAGAGAAATTTTGAGGCGAATGCCGGCCAGCAATCAAGTTGGGTCGGCTTCTGACGCGTTGGCTTTGCGTCCGCATCTGAACTTTCTTACTGCCGTAAAGAACTTTGATTATTTGTCTGCTTCCATTAATTTACTAACACCTTTAGTTGTAGCTAAAGCCCGCTTCAGTCTTTTTGGCACCGTTTTCAGTAAATTATTCGCTTTGAAATTCCAATTCAAAAATTTTATACCTTAGTTTTTCTTTTCACTGAAGCAATGTGACCAGACTGAGTTACTAGCACAATACTATGCCAACACAAAAATAATCAGACATCAGTGTGACCAGGCTTGGCAAATAAGCCCGGGATATAAAAACGGACAACCCAGATTCTAATTTGAAATTAAATTTTAAATAATGGCTCAAATTAAAATATAAAAAAAAAAAAAATAATTATACGGTTCATTACTTACCTCCAGTATTTCTTTCAGGCTGTCTAAACTGCTGTCTTTTCGTTTGCTGCCCTCCAATTCTTCGTTCAGGTTGTGCAAGTCTTGTAGGAATGAGTGGTAAGCTGAAGATGATGCTAATTCCTTGGTGGAACCGGACCAATTGTCATCTGCAAAATGAATCAAGATTATTAGGCTCTTAAACCATTATAAGAAGGGAAGATCTTTACGTACTTATAGCTTTTAAAAGCAAAAGACTCGGCACCTGTTGCTTTTTGTAGTTCATCCGCCACACTCGGAGGCAGTCGTCCCTCCCACTACTTAGCAGACAGCTAATACAGCCTTCAATCTCGTTGTTATGCTTAGAGGTAGCGCTTATATCGCGGAATAATGTCAGAAAAATATTGGCATGCTTTACGGGGCTATTGATATAACTTTGCTGGAAATAAAATCGTGATATTTGAAAAGATACAAATCATTTGAGTATAATCTTATCTAAAACTCACCAGCAATCCACTAGCACTGCGTTTCAGACTTTGTTGTTGCTCCTTGGGCAGATTAATGTACGTGGCGTTCAGTGCGTTATAGGCGGCGAAGAATTCTTGCTGATTTAACAGCAACGGTTCCTCCTTTTTTCTTGCCGACGACTCCTTCAGTACTTTCTCGATGTATTCAACAACGAACTTGGAATACTGCTTCAGTTCCAGATTAGGCAGCATAAGGTTTTGCCAAACACGCACACCCTCATTCAACGACTGATAACCGCCCTGTCCAACAGCCCACAAGATGCTTAGGCAAATGTTGCTACGATTTTGGTAGGAGTTCCGCAAAAGTGCTGTCTTAGCCAGGTACTTGGAACAAATTTCAGGCCAGTTTTGGCCAATCAATTGTAACAGCAGTTTGTACCCAATCACTGTCTGATTGTTGTTCAGTTCCGTAGCCATACTGTCCATCAAAGAATGGTAGAAGTATGCGAGATTTGTTTCCCCCACACTGCCAAGGAACTCCACAATCAGAAACTTGAGGGAAGGACTGGCCAGGTTACTGGGATATTGAGTCGATCGGCCGGAGAATATGGGATCGCACTCGTAGGACAGGGCTCCATTGAAGAATAGTGTAATCTTTGCAGGAATATAGACGATTATTAGCTTAAAATGTAATTATTTTATCAATTTAACTCACATGACTTAACCAACGAAGCTCGGAATCGGGACAACTGAGTTTGACCTGCTCCACTTGAGCAGAAAAATCATCCGGTGTGATGTTCTTAAGAGCCTGCTCCAGAGTTTTTGGCTTTGTCGACGTGGGCTTTTTAGCGCCAGCTGCACCTGCAGTGCCCGCATTTTTTGCAGTGTTTTTCTTTACCGGTGATTTAGTTTTCGACGACGATGAGCCACTAGAACTGGATTTAGCCGGTGAAGAGGACTTGTAGTTATTATTGTTGCTAGAGCTGAATAACTGCGCTCGATGAGTTGGCACTAGAATGGCAGTTGGTTGGATTAATGGCAATCGGCTTAGATGCACTCAGCCTAAAATCTTACACAGTTCCTCCAGTTTGGGCAATTGGGCTGCAAGCCGCTTCTTCTCTGTGTGGGCTACTACCTTTTTATCCAGGTTTTTTTGTTTACGCGACTTGGTTACTACTTCCCATTGCTCCGACATGATGATTGCAATTGTTTAATAAATGAAATTAAATTAAATTAAGCAAATCAGGGTCTGCCGGCACGAATAAATACGCATTTAGAGTGGCCAAACTTTTTGTATCCTCCGTTTTGAATCATACGCCTCCAACTCGTTTTGCTCGAGTCGCCCTGTGTCGTCCTATCCTAAGTGTCTCAAACTATTCTTAATTTATGTTATACAATTTACAGTTTTCTATCAAGAAATTAACAAAAAATAAAATAATAAATAAACTATTTAGAAGACTAAATAGAGTTCAATTTTTTATAAAAATTTTAAAAACTAGGGCTGCAGTAATCATGGACAATTGAAACTATCTGGGGAGTTGACCGTAGGACAGCGTTGCCAGATAAATTATACCAATGCGGCGGCTTGTTTACATTCGTAAACTCTCTGAAAATAACAAAAATATTTAATAAGTCCTTAAAAATAACATTAAAACATGGCTGCTTCTCGCTCCCGCCGCAATAATGCTGGCAATAAGATAGCAAAACTACTAGACGAGGAAGAGGAGGATGATTTCTACAAAACCTCATATGGCGGGTTTCAGGACGAAGAGGAAGACAAGGAATACGAGTAGGTCTTTGATTTTAATTGAAAATTTCCCATATTAACGTTGTTAAATACCATCTTCAGACAAAAAGACGAAGAGGAGGATGTGGTGGACTCGGACTTCAGTATCGATGAACAGGATGAGCCCATTTCCGACCAGGAGGAGGCTCCCGAAAAGAAGAGAAAGCGCGGCGGCGTCAACACAAAGGCCTACAAGGTAGAGCCTCTGTAATTATATTTTAAGAACTCTAAACATGAAATGATTTTTGCAGGAAACCAAGCCAATGGCCAAGAAAGAAACAAAGCCTACACCGGCTCTTCACAAAAAACGTGCCGGTGGTGGCGTCGTCAAGCGACGGGTACTTCCTCGTTTCACTGTCCTCGACTCTGGCCGAAAATCAATTCGCACATCGACAGCGATCAAGACACAGGCTACAAAAATCCGCCTCAAGGAAATGGACGATGCTCGCAAACGTAAAAAGAAGAAGGTGCGGGTCGAGGACTATATGCCCACTCAAGAGGAGCTGCTGGAAGAGGCCAAAATCACAGAGGAAGAGAACATCAAGTCACTGGGTGGGTCTCTTAAAAAACTAAAAAATATATCTATCTTATACATGTCTGTTCCATTTTAGAAAAATTCCAAAAAATGGAATTGGAAAAGAAGAAAACCCGTCCCACAAAGCGGACCTTTACTGGGCCAACAATACGATACCATTCACTGACTATGCCAGTGCTACGAAAACCTACGCGTGGTGGTGTTCCAAACGACACAAAAGATGTAAAAGAACCCACCGCGAAGTGCGAGAGGACTTTTGTTACTGTCGATAATGATTTTAACGATAAAGTGTTCCAGAGCATATTCCGCCCAAAAATCTTACCAAAAGCCAGCAATGGTATTTGTCCGATCACTAGACTGCCAGCCCGCTACTTCGATCCGGTAACGCAACAGCCGTATTATAGCATTCAAGCCTTCAAAATCCTGCGCGAAGCTTACTACATGCAGCTGGAGCAACAGGGTAATGGCAGCGACCAGCCCGAGTTGGCCAAATGGTTGGAGTGGCGCAAAATGGTCAAAGAGAATCGTCTCAAGGCGACAACAGCTACCACCAAAAGCGGAGATAACTAATAAAGTAACAAAATTTATTAAAATAATTCTATATATTTTTAGAATAAAGATATTGGATTTGGAAAATTTCAGAATGAAATTGGATTTAGATAGTTTGTTACGTTTGTACAGAATGTTTGAATTTGAGGTAAGAAATTTTTGAAGTAACCCTCGAGGCAAACAAGATTCACTCAAGGCATGCTCCAAAATAAACCAATTGTCCCAAATTGTATATAGGGTATTTCCCAAACGTAATCACTAAATTGTTATTAATAATCTAGACACCGTCTGTTTTCATTAGAGAGTACATAAAGCTATGTACGTATTATTTATATAAGCTGACGTTTTGGGGTACAAGAGCAGCATCCGGATTATTGACTTTGCATATGATAACAAGGTTTACTTACAAAAAAAATCTATTCTAAAAAGGTACAAGAATGTATAATATATTTAAAAGGTTTATTAATTTTAATAGAAATTTAAGAATTATATTTAAAAGAAGGGGCATTTTAGAGTCGACTTTATTTTGAAAAGTTTTAGAAAATGTTTTTATTTTTATTTTTTTTCATTTCCGTAAACGGTCTAAATGATAACCAAGTGACCCCCAACTAGAATGCTGTGGTTCCGACAAGGTTTCATCATCTTGAGAATACAAATACACTAGTGGAACTCTATTTTGTAATTTTATGATTTTAATTCATTCAATAAAATATATTCATCGCGATAATATAAGAACATATATTTAATATAAAGATTATAGTAAGAAAGGGAATTAGTACTTCGAACCAGGCCGCACTTATTGTGATCTATACGTTTTTGTCCACTTATCAAAAAAAATAAACACGCGCCTACTTTTTGGTCTGGATGGATGAGCAAGGTACTCTCATGACCAACGTTTAGTCAGATCTGAGATCTCAGGTTATACGAACGTCTCCGTTTTCGAAATGAGGCAATTTTTTGTGATTTTACTACTCCTGGTGGTGGGATGGCAGTGCTGTGGGGTGGCTCGGGCCGACAGTGATAGCGACAGTAGCAGCAGCAGTGGCGAGCACAAGCACAAGGGCAAAGGACATAAATACAACAACCCCGCCTACCCTGCTCCTTACAGCTATGGCCCCTATGGCTACCCATATCCGTATAATCCCTACGCCTACAATCAGATTATGCCGCAATACCCGCCGCCTGGATATAACCCCTATCCGTATAATCCCTACATGCAGCCGCCACCACCACCGCCACCAATGCCTGGCTACCCACCCCAGGCCCCTCAAGGCTATCCAGGTCAGCCAGGCGGTTACCCGTCCCAGCCGGGAAACCCGAGCCAACAGAATCCCAGCCAACCTTGGAATGCCAACGCGCCTTCTAATCCGTCACAACCACAGCAGCCCAATGCCGGAGCTGGACAACCTCCAGCATATCCGCCACCAGCCTCAAGTGTCATTAATCACTCCCTTAAAGTCAATAAGGAGTACAATGAGGATGGACACCACAGAACATAAATAAGAAACTAGTTTCATGTGTAACTTGTATCCGTTTTCGACAAAATATTTCAAATAAAATACAAATATATACATATTATCCTAATCCCTCAACTAATCCTTAATATTATAGGCTAAGCGCCCTAGGGAAGGATCTAGTTAGAATGTATTTACAAATCACAGTGCGCTTTTATTTCAGTTACTCGTCTGTTCTACCACCGTGCTGTGATTATACAAATGTACATGGTATGCGTAACTATTCATACACTTCTGGATGCTGAGCACAAAGGGCTCGAATGGGTGCCAAATAAAGGCGCATAACTCCCGGGGTGACAGTGAGTTGGTTGGTCGACGCGCCTTGGCGTAAAGCCGAAACTTTACACTCTTCGTCATCCGATCTCTAAATACAATGGGCTCAGTGGAACAGGGATTTGGACGCTCTAGGGGCGATATGTGCCGGTCATCGTAGCTGAAGTCGTTGAACTGGAGATACGGCGATGGTGACAGACTCTGGGAGCTGACAGGAACACTTGGATTGAAGCGCAATGCTGCATGCCGGATGAAGGGTATGGATTCGCTGGCATCTGCAAAGTTTTGCTTGAGAAAAAAGTGCAGCGGCAGGGAGGGAGCATCTCCTGTTTGCATGGATCGAACATTGCTCATCTGGTCGTAAAATTGGAGTATGATCTGCAGCAAGTCAACGGAATCATCATGGTAGACCCCCACCACCTCCTCGCTGGCTATATTGTAAAAAACATACAAGCGGCGAGGAGTTGGTGTCAGAGGCATAACATCGCTGTCTTTTTGACGTTCTTCGTAGCGCAACAGGAGGAGTTCCTTGTTCACCAATTGCATCCTTTCCATAATCATGTATTCCACCTGGGGGAGGAAATAATTAGATTAGAAAATAAACTAAGAGACAAACTAACAAATTCAAAGATCTTGTAAAAATCTTGCAGCTTCTGCCTCGCTGAAGGACTCTCCCCATAAATTTGGCGGTACAGAAAGCTTAGGACCCTTTGTTTAATGTGAGTAATTGGCATAACCGTTGTCGCGTCCAGGTTGCCAACATCCATGGACGCATTCTCGATAAAGTCTCTTGGCCGGGGACCAATCGTCTCCTGTTCAACCAAACGACCCTCCACTAGCTCGTAAACATAGATGCACTGATGCAGCCTGGACATGATTGCAATTGTAGAACCAAACACCGAGATGCCATGGTTATGGGCTATCACTATGGAGTCCTGCGACAAGAAGAGTCTGTGGGTGACACAGCCCTGTTCCAGGTCGACCACGAAGAACACGTAAGAGTAGGCGTCTAGTTTGTCAAACAAATCCGGGTAGAGGATGTAAGACATGGTGGGCATGGCGTTTCTCAAGACGGACATTGCAGCCAGTAGAACGTAACGGCCGTTCTCCAGGAACACGCTGAACTCCCGGTGCAGATAATACCGTCCGCTTTCGCCCTGACAGAGTCGCAGGACAGTGGCATCCTTTGTGGCGAACAAGCGGTCGAAGATCTGGTTCTGTACGTTGCTTTCCTGGCTCTTGAAGCATTCTCCGGTGCCCACATTCGCTTCCCGGATCAACTCTCCCACCGCCGCCGAGCCGAAGCCCTTGTACTTGTAAATATGCAGGCTGCGCTGATCCTGCGAGAAAGCCAGTAACTTGCTGCCATCTGGTGTAAACTTCCGCAGGTAAACTTGCGGAATCGAAATGGAATCAATGGTCAAGCAGGGAGTGATGCACTTGTAGAACTTTCGCTCGTGGGCAAACTGGGGGGTCCTGCTGGCAGAAGTTCCGGGAGCAAGGAAGCCTGATTCTCGATTCTGGAGCAGGTGCACGAGGTTCTGCGATTGCAGCCTCTCGCTGTAGGCCATTATTTCCACAGGTGTTTGTTTACAGACATTTTTCGCGTTTTCCAGCACTTAAAAGCAAAGGCCGTTTATGCGTGAATTCATTTTACGATCTTGTTTAAATAACTCCATTTTCACAAATTGTAATGCTAAATAACATAATTACGATTGATTTTTCAACTAAAACATTTAAACAATGGTTCAATAAGAAATAAAACATAAGCCCGGTATTCCAATCTGAAAGCTCACCAATAAAATAACAATAATGCTTTAATAAGCTATAAACACTATAATGCAAGATAATGATAGTGCTACACCGCTAGAAATTATCACCAAGCACTTATGAGTAACTATCGTGATTGATAAAAACAAGTTTAGATTCTTTATTAATATTTTAAAGCGCAAAAAGCAAACGATTGCGAGTTTGCTGATGATTGTTATCATCTCTCCCAACATCTTAACCCACTGCGAGCCAGAAACTACGATAATTATAGAAATTTGTATTCTGCTTTTAAATAAAGGGCATTCGAATAACTACTTTGTTTACCTGGTTTGGTTATCTTGCAGAGGAAACACTATTTAAATACTATCGTATTATTCCACTTTATTCAGTGTCGAAATGTTCACAATTAAGATTTTTTCAATCATTCCAAAAACTGCCAAGCATAGACTATAGTAAATTTAGACATTGTATCCCACAATGTGGCGTTTGCCGATGCACTCGCCAATGTAGAACCAGAAAATGACCTCAGCGGTCACCAGGGTGTTAAGCCAGGCCTCGCGAACGGTGAGGTTCTTGTAGGCACCGGTCTTGGCTCCCTTGATGATGTTGCCAAGTCCCTGACGGATGGCCGGAATGTCGGCTGGAGTTGGGGGCGTAAGCTCCACTTTGGCGTACTTTAGGAACACATCCAGCTGTGGCCTGGCCTGTGTAAGAAGCCCTGCAAAAAAATATCATTACATAATTTTTGATCAGTATGCGAAATGGCAAATCAAAAACAAGTTAGGTTTCGTTTGGCGAAGCTTACTGTTTACAAGTCCTGATCCCTTAGTAGCCAAACTCGCCATTTTTCCGTATCGTTTCTGCAATCACTTCAAATTATAAAAGAGAAAAATAAGCGAAATGTGTAAAACCATACCTAATGTGCTATGAAACAGAGATGTTATGCATTGGCCAGGGCTGGATAAGAAGTTATCGAAAAGTATCTGTGTATTTTTAGTATTTTTTTAGAGGTTTACTCTGCTGAAACATATAAAATTAAACAATATAAGACATATAATTTAATAATTAATAAGATAAATCATCAATCTTATTTTTAAAAGGTTCTTATTTCAAATAAAATTATTCTACCCATTTTGTATGGATAGCCTCTGGACATATCGATAAAAAATGTTCACTTGGAGCAAAATACAAAGTTTTTGATCTCCGGAAAACTTTTGCAGAATGGCATTAGTTAGATATAAGTAGAAGCTTTAACATTTTAAAGAAAATGAAAAATAAAGTTTCATAAATGTGGAAGAATTTAAATTTAGCGCACTTTGGTAGTAGTTGCATCGAAAAACAGTGTTGAAAAACGGATGTAGACTTAGAAAGACCAAATGAAAAATACCAGAATTTAGCTGAAAAAAAATACTACGATATAATATTTAGGTGAAAACATCGATATTTCGATATAAATATACAACAAAGGTGTGGAAATCTAAGTTTCCACAAAAACGAGCAAATATTTGCATTTTTCAAGCCCCGAATCGGCTAATTAGAGTTTTTCGTCGGAACGGGAACCGATCTAACAGCGACCATCGGCAGCGGAAGTGGCTGATTAATGTTTTTTGTTGTGACTGGCGTGAAACGAGAAGTGTGACGGGCGGTGAGTGAATGAGCAATGCAATAAAGTCAGGAATAGAAAGTGCTTGCAGAAAAAATCTGTGTATTATTGCCATTTAGTTGCAAAGGCCCGACTGCAAACGCAGAGAATCGCGTGAAAATTAGTAATAAGAGCCACATACACACATAGAGGGGCAAGCGCACCTTCGTGTGTGCCCCCACAAAACGGGCAGCTCGGCTCTTGCTTGGCACCCTGAATATCTAATTTGCGTTGGTGGGGGCCGCGATGTGTACGCGTACTTGGCGTATGTAGGTGCCACCACGTAAAGTGAAGTCTTTGAGCGATAAAGCCACTGAAGCGGCCACTTTATCGACTTATCTCGCCTCGGACTGTGAATGAATCTTGAAGGGGGTGGGATTTGGGCGTAGCGCTCTTATCACCAAACAGTGAATATACGTATATCCATGGGACCATGGGGTGTGGTCCAGACGGCAAACACATAAGCCGCGCATATCACAAAATATTTCAAGATAAAAAAAATGCACATCGAGTCTTGAATGAAGCCTGTGTTTTAGCCAATTAGAAGGGTCCTATTAATGGGTTATAATAAATAAACAAAAACTATAACTTAAAATTGACAATTAAGTCTTAGTTCTTTGAAAATAATTAATTTAATTTAAATTCCAATAAAAGAAAAGTCATAAAAAATTAATTCAATTTATAATTTTGTATATTTTTGTTCATTTTAGTCAATGAGGACACACTAATTCAGTGGTAAAGTTGGAGTTAATTGTCTATTGCGCCCGACCATGCCACTGCCGAAGCGATCGATAGAGCCCGTACATGTGGCCCGCTCCGTCTACCAGCAGGATGAGCTGCAGTCCGTGGAGCTGGAGACGGTGACCAACACCACCCTTACGAACATCATTCGCCAGTTATCCTCTTTGTCAAAGCACGCTGAGGATGTGTTCGGAGAGCTGGCCCGCGATGTCGCCAATATTGGGGATCGGGCCAACTCCTTGCAGGCCCGCATCGATCGGCTAGCCATCAAGGTCACCCAGCTGGATAGTACTGTGGAGGAGGTACCCCTGACGGACATCACGCGCAAGAAGGCCTTCAAGTCGGCCAAGGTGTTCGATCAGCAGATCTTCTCGCGCGCCACCATGCCAGCACCGATGCTGGAAACATACGCCCAGTGCGACAAGCCGCCGCCGCTGGACAAGCTGAATGTGTATCGGGACGATGGCAAGGACGGTCTCAAGTTCTACACCGATCCCAATTACTTCTTTGAGCTGTGGCGTCAGGAAATGCTCAAGGACACCGAACGGGTGATGCACGACAAGGGCAAGAAGATGAATCGACCACGGCAGGATGGCGGAGCCGGAGGTGCTGCTGGGCGTAGCAACAAGAAGCAAAAGACCAAAATAAGACAGCCCCACAACACGCGCGAGAAACAGCGTCAACTCGTCCTGGTGCACGGCGAGACCTTGATGCCCAACAATGTTATATACCGGACACCGAATTCCATGGTCAACGAGGAAGCCGGCTACGGAAGTAAGTACATAGGACAGACTTCAAATCTAGCTAGAAGGGTTGTTGAAATATTTCAGATATGGATAGTATCTGTAATCTATAAAGTGTCTATCTATTTCAACAATCTGAAATTTAGAATGAATCCAAGTACTCAGTGCGAAGCCAATTGATGAATAGATTTTGAAATTGGAAAGCTCTTACCACGCACTGAATATTTGCACTTGTTTAGCATTTGATAAATGGAATCTATTTAATTATGAATTATGTACTGTCTGCTCGTGTAGTTCAGCTAGTCAAAATACAAACTGTGAGCGAGTCTGACACCGATGCCCACCACCAAGTTGTCGGTAATGTTAATGACGTAGGTACGATGATGGGGCCATGTGACATGCATTACCTACCAGCCGATCGATCTCCCATGTCCATTCCATGTCCATTCACTTTTACTTCAACTTCTACTTCACTCCAAAGCTCGCTAGTTTTCAAAAAAAAAAACAAAAAAAAGCGTCCCAGAACGATGTATTATTACGCCTTGTTGCTGTTATTTAAGCATTAACCTCCATAATCATTAGTCAGAGAAGGAACTATCTTAAAAGAAAGATTTATTATAATACTATAAGTATTTTTCGAAAGAACTCTGATTAGAATCGACTCCCGATCATGTCCAAAGACTACTCACTGCTTAGTTTTGATTGCATGCCGTTTATTTATTGACCTATTTTAGTTAATGTAATTAGATCGGTAATCTTGTATGGATCAAACACGCATAATCATCTCATTTACAGATACAGTAAAGCCTTATAATATGCTTTCGCATTTGGAGAATAACAGTAATGTCACAAAGCAAACCGCCGTTGCGATTGCAGGTTAGACATCTTCACACCTTTAAGCAAGCCTCAGTAACTCTGACTATAAGTGTTATTTCACACGCTTCTATTCTTCTATATATACCATATATATATACATATATTTACTAGCAATCCTATTTTTTTGTTAACTATATTAACTATGTATGTATGTATGTATGTGAAACCAATGAATTCTGGATGAACTTTGATGGTAATTTTTGGAATTCATTGGCTAACCGCGCGATTCGTCGCCAATTTTTGTTTAGGATCCTAAATACCTTTCTGTTGTAGTTCTCCGTCTTTACAATATCGTACACCTCACTCTAGAGCTTTACTAATTCCTTTCTGTCGCCACATCTTATCCTCTGATACTTTCTCCAATTCTCAAAATTCATTTCTGTGCCCAGATCAGAGTCTTGAAAAAATTTCCAATCGGTTCTTTGTTTTTTTTTTACTAAATTATCTGACTAATTGGCCTAAAAATGGAGTCTCGTCTGCACAGAAAGTCTCAATTGCTTGTAATTACATGTCCTAATTTAGTTTAAAAGTGTAATTACACAATAATTGGCGTGTTTTTAAATGAGATGTGTGTCCTGTATGAAGAATAGGCTTATAAGGTGCGATTCTAACTCTCATCTCGTCCACCCTTCTAGATATGGGAGTCTACGACACACGCCCACCGCGTCCCAACTCGATCGAATTGCGTCACAGCTACCAGTCGGAGCAGATCGATAGTAGCACCTACGACCAGGTCAACCCACAGATGGGCAGCCAGTATGCGCCCTCGTTCGGCGCCAATGGAATGGGTGGAGGCCAGCAGATTCATATGCAGCACCAGCAGCAGATGTACGACGCCGGGTTGTACCAATCCCACTCCCTGTACGGTCAGACGGGGCAGGGGGTTATGTCACCGGAGCCGATTTACGGCCCGGGCACCCCGTCGCGCAACAAGCCGCGTCCCTCGCAACCGCCGCCGGCACCTCCATCGAACGGTAGCGGTGGAGGCACACCCACAGCCTCGAATGCCAATACTCCGACCCGTGGAAGGAGTATGTCGACCAGCCGGGACGCCTTGCCACCGCCTCCGCCGGTACCGGACGCCATGTCGCCCATGTCCGTTATGAATGGCGCCAACAGCGGACACATTGCGGCCAAGCTGCTGGGCCGGGCGAACAGTACATCGCGAGCTGGATCTCCGCAGATGACTCCGAACAATGTTCAGAGCGCCAACGACATGGTTATGACGCAGCTAAGCAATACATTCAACAACATGGGAATGGGAATGGGAGGCAACCAGTTGAACTCCCTTAGCGACTTGCCTCCCCCGCCTCCAGTGCCAGATCAGGTTCGTAAACACATGACTCCTCGCCAGGTTCATGGAAATTAATAAATTTATGTTTCCCAACAGCACTCACCAAAAATGTCGCCTCCAAATGCTGCACCACCCCCGCCGCCACCGCCGCCGCCAGTTGAGGATGGAATGGGCGGTGGTAGTATCAACCAGCACACCATGCGGCCACACCAAATTCTACCCAAATCCCTGGCCAATGGCGAGATGCCAGGTCAACAGAACGGTGTACCGCATATTGTGGCTGCTAAGAAGCTATTGCCTCCATTCCATGACCCACGAAACGACTTGATGAAGGCCATTCGAGATGGTAAGTATCATCTAGCTACTCAGATGATAAATCTTAATATTAAAAAATGTATTATTTTAAAGGCATTACCCTGCGAAAGGTGGAAAAGTCGGAACAGAAAGAATTTGAACGCAATACGGCACCGCTGGATGTAGCCTCGATCTTGGCCAGGCGGGTGGCAATAGAACTATCCGAATCTGAGGACTCGGACAGCGATGACGACAGCGAGGGGTGGATGGAGCCCAACGAGACATCGGCTTGATCCCTGATGAACTCGCTAAAGCCGGAAATAATTCTAAAAAATAAAAAGAAAAAATAATTCCAAAGAGAATTAATCCATACGATGGTCTAAACCAGGAGTGGTATAAAATTGGATTACACAAAAGCACCAAAGCTTTTCTACCACCACCCTTCATTATAATATAATACACCTAAACTAATTCCTAAATATTATACATATATCTAAAATCAAAAACAACAAATTAATTGAATTGTAAATACATACACACCAGGACGAGTAATTATCGTTAAAGTAATCGCTATAGTAAACGCATTTGAATTTGAAGCCTAGATGATGCTCCAAGAGGATTGATAATGGATGGATAGAACCAGCGCCAGCACCCAGCACCGCGTTTTATCAATTCTTTCGGAGTCTAGCTCTAAGTAAAGCTCTAGGGCTTCTGTATCATAGTAGTCGGTGTTTGGATATTATATTATAAATATTCGATATTATTACTAAACTCAATCCTAAACCCCCCTACTTGCAATCGATACGATTAATACAACACACATTTATCCAAAACGAAACTTTAGAATTTTGTAAATACAATAATATATAAAATTATACGCAGCCGTAGTAGCATTTCAATATACTCAACCAGCTATGATTATTCCCGAGAGATCGAAATGCCTGTAATGACTATAAGGTGCATTTCACAAATCTATACATGGTTGCATGTATTTCTTTACAAAAAGTATAATATTTAATATAAACAATAAAATAATTGTACTCCAAAAATTAATTCCACTCGTTTCTTTTCAGATTAATATTTTTGTTTTTAATAAACAAAATGGTTTAGTAAGTAAATGAGTTTTAAGGAAATCAAAAAATTACATTCTTTGCAACGTAAAATGAAACTTGTTCTTCTTTAACTTAAAAAAAGGGTTAACTTTATCTTAAACTAGTACGAGAGTATTTTATTATAGGTAATAGAACTTCTTCTCCAAGGCGTTTTGCGGAATGGCGTGTAAGTTGGTGCCCACAAGGGTGGCCAGCTTCTTGGCATATTGGCAGACGGCCGGAACACGGGTAGTGCCCGACCAGTTGTAGTACAAATGGCACATTTTGTAGGTCAACTTTTGGATTTGGTCGGGACTGAGACGAATGTTGCTATAGAGCACGTTGTAGGAGGTGGGCGACACTGATCCTTGACGAACCTGCTGCGACACCAAATAGAAATCATAGCGTTCCGGGAGCGTGACAATGTCATCGACAACAGTGCCCGGCGGAGGGTTTCGGCCGTTGTTGAAGAAGCGCGTGTTCATCGACTTGGTGACCACAACGTAGGCCAGCATCGGTGGTCCGCAGTTGGCGCGCTTGTACTCCGCATCGAGCTTCTCCACAATGTCCTTAACCTCGAATTCAAAAAGCTGCTTCAGTGATCCCGGGCTCACACCGTCACGATAGAAAATAATGCGAGTTGGCAGCTTTTGATGTTCTCGTTGGTATTGGCGGAGAGCCTTTGCTATCATCGGCCAAAGATTATTGCCCAGGGTGTCGAAGGCACTGCACTCCGAGACCGTGCTGAAGTAGGTGGAGTTTTGCTGCAGATCCATGGATGCCACCAATGCCCCGTAAGCCCTCTTGCGATCGCGAGTGCTTTTGGCAATATCAAATCCCAGGGTCATTAAGCCCGAAAGAGGCACTTCCACCATCCAGGGTGTATATCCCAGCTTGCAGTTGATCTGAATGGCTATCTTGGTGGCAATGCTCATCAAACCGCGATTCTTGGCAGTTTTAATCGTGACCACTTGGGTGGGAACGGCTCTATCAACATAGCCACGCTTCTTAATGGCCGAGTATCTGCAATATATAAGAGATTTTTTTGAGTTCTAATACAAGTAGATAAAGATATTCCCAACCTGTCAGCATTATTATTAGGAACCAGGCAAAGGATTAGCTTTGGATCCATTCGAGAGCAGTCATCCATGGCTCGTATGTATGTTGCCGTGCGATCGTCATATATTTTAATTCTAAAGAAAAGGTTACCATAAAACAATGCCAATATAACCCGACAATACTATCTTACTCCTGGGGGGTCCTGATACGCAGACCCATTCCGCTGGCAGCTCTGAACAGACTTTCCATCAAGTTCCTTAGATCATAGGAGTTGCGTTCCGGAGCAATGACTGCCCAGCGATCGATACCATCACTCGGAGTGGTAAGCATACGCTGGTCCCGGAAGTAACGCGTCCAGTCAGCAGTTTCCCCAGCAGAAACCCTAAAATACAGGACTCTTAATAAAAAGAGTACAATTACCATAAAGTCAACATACTTTTGATTGTTGAACACAATTTTTTGCGGTGAAATGATACGACCAGCAACCTCAATGAGGTTCTGGTCAAGATTCATGTTCCAATCTTTCAGAACTTTAACGCTTTCAGAAGTGGTTTGCAAACGACTATTAAAACGGCGTAGCCGGTCGATGCGACGATCGGGATTCATTCGTGTATGTTCCGACATGGCACGCATCAATCTGGGAAATGGTTTAAATATTTTATTCCAATACCATGTCTGTATAGATATAATCTTACTTAAAGTCAGAACGCATGCTGTCTGTTAGGCCAGTCACTCGGCACAGTTCAGGAATGAGAACCACTATTTCACTAGCGTTTGCTTTCTGGGCCTTATCCCGGCTCTTCGATATAAGCAGCGGCTGATTTTGGTCCCTAATGCGAATGTTGTATCTCTAAAATATATAAATAATTTATCAAACTTTCTCCAAATAGGTTTAGACAGCATTTTCGACTTACAGTCAAGTAGTACTCCACAAAGCTAATATCCTTTCCCTTGCAGCTGAAGGTGGACTTTGGGGTTTGGCCAAAGTCGACATCATTGATGCGGTATGTCTTGTTATTATAGTCCGTCAGTACGACCATATCCAGCACATTCATACGGAAATCGTCCTGATGACGGGAAGGATTTTGGGAGCACCGCTTCAAGATCTCATAGACAGTTTCCGTACGCATTACTTTGTGAGTAATTTCGGTGCACAAGAGGATGTCCTTTTCGTGCTGACGAATGGATGTCTCGTATCCAGGCCATAGCTCCATTTGGAACTCTCGAATGGGAATCTAAATCGACATTAAAATTATGTTATAAAGATAGTTCTGTACACAAAAATGTATCTAGTACCTTGGCATGTGGATCGAACAGATTGCGGCCAACTAACTCTAGCTTGAGACCTTTCATTGATCGACGCAGTATGAGATTGAGAACCTGTAGGAACCGCGTCTCTGATGTCGATATGAATCCCACAAACTTGATCGTAATAGTGTATTCGGTGCCGAGCTTCGATTGTACCCGCAACACCGTCACATCCTGTGGATACTTTCGGGCCGAGAACAGCTGCATTCCATCGAACAGATACCCTTGCCCCAAGAAATTCGATTGGTCGGATAATATACCCATTCGTACGCGTACATTTTCAATAGGTGGCTCAAACTCCACATGGTAGTGAACGATTCGCCACTCCGGCACGGTCTTGAGTCGGAAGAAGTTCGACTGCAGTCGGATGGGGACTCCATCGGAGCCCTTCTTCGAGACCACATCCGCCGGACGAGTGGCCACAATGTCATAGCGATCACGGCGATCGGTGGGTCCAGCTCCTTCACGTTTCACATGTCCAGACGATCCAGCTTCCGATGGCGGCTTATCCTCGGGTGCGGCACGTGGATCTCCTCTACGGGGATCGGTTGGCCCCTTGAATATTTTGGCACGCTGTTTAGAAAATAAACAAATTTAATGAAATATTTTTTATCTTTCGTATAACGGATTGTTAGAATAGAAGAGTATATTGAAATATGGAGTATAGAGCATGAATACAGGGTATCATCACTAACCATACAGCATATAGACAAAGATTTCTTGCGACAGGCCCCAACAGGCCCCAGAGCGAGTTCTTACTCTCTTTCTTACGCTCATCGTTCGTTCATTTTACGCTCATATTCTCATTGAATGCTTTCTGTTTCTGTCTCTGTCTCTGAAAGGAGCACGACGAAGAATGTTGGTCTGCGCTTGGATTTTTCTTTGTATGTATGCGTGTCACACATTCACATACACGGGGGCATGTGTGCGTGCGATTTCGTTTCGAAGGAGGAGCTATAATAGCTTCCATAGGAGCTATTAACTAGAAACTTTGGGCCCTTTTTTTAAGTCCTAGGATGGTTCGAAAGTGTACATACATAAGTGTGCGTAGTATGTATGTATGTATTCCAAAAAAACTATTCTGTTATTATTTACCAATTTCCGACCCGATATTATTTTTACGTTCCTTTTCACATAAAGAATACATACATACAAACATAGGCATATAAAATCGTAAATTAAAGACCGCGGACCAAGAAAAATACTCCTCTGCTTCCTAAAAAGTTGCTTGCGCAGCAGATATTCGAGATGCCATGCTTCGCGCCATACTCTAAGCACATTCCCTCTCGCTCTTTGTTGTTTCTAAAATACAATGTTTGCTAAAATGGTTTCTTCAATTAGAGGCTTAAAGATGTACTTTTTTCTAAAAAAAAAACAAACTGATTTCAGAAAATTGACGGCAATTTTTGTTTATTTAAATAAAGAATGGTCTGAAGCACCCACACAAAGGCTTTAACGCTTTCATTCTAACGGAACTTACGCAGATGCTTAAGAAAATGCTTTCAAAAATAATGAAAAAGCTATAGGTTTATTCACCTTTGCAACAGTAAGATTTCAAAACTTTATTAGAAAATCGTCACCTACCGGCTCCTCTCGTGCCTCACGGGAAGTTGATGGTCCATCATCCTCAAGTGGACGCCTGCGCCCACGTCCTTGATCTTCGGCCATAATTTTAACTTTGATTTTCAGCGAAACACTCGGAAAGGAAGAGCTTTAAAATAGAATGGCGGTCGAATTGAATGTTGCCACACAGACCGCGAATTGAATGTTTTGCAGAGTGACCGCGATGAACTCATAGAAAATAATACCACCAATTGAAAAATATCGCAAAACCTTTTATCTTACAAATAAATTTTAATATGAAGTTTATAACTTTAAATACTTTTAGTTTCTTATTTAAGCGTTTTTAGGAGCCTAGAATGCGAGCCTATCAAATTAGTTTTAAACATAGTCTGTACAAGTTATCTAATACTTCCTCATACAACCTTCTGAAGAAGGCTTTTTAAATATATATCTATTTTAAAAATGTATTTATTATTTATTTTTATTATATTATTTGTTTATAACATGATTGTAATCGAATAAGAAGTCGTTGCGAGCGCCCTAATATATATTCAAATCTTATTGGAATTTATCGATAATTCCATCGACGCTTATCCATCTCTAATCTGTAAAGACAACAAAACTACAGATATGAGGGACTTACAAACCTTTGACCGGTCTTTAAAAGATTTGGAATACTTTGCCGACTTTCGAAGATTCTTGAGCGGCAAGGGCAAAACTAGAAAGGTCGCTAGAGTGAGAAAAAGGCAAGCACGGTTCAATCCGTTAACTGATTTGAATGAAAATCAGTTTCGCATTAAATATCGGTATACAAAGGAAAATTTGCGCCGAATAATTGAAATTGTGCGAGATGATCTGGAAATTGATTATTACGAACCCCTGAAGAAGGAGCAAGTGCCAATAGATCTACAAATATTATCCGCAATCCGGTTGTGGGGTGGAACTGAAGTAAGTTTTGTCCAATTGAAAAAGTTTGTGTATGTACAACAAAATGTTTTGGCGCGAAAGCATCCACATTTCAAAATTGCATATAAACTTTTTTTTATTTTATTTTTTTTTTTTTTGTAGCACCCTCACTTGACTGCAATGGCTCATGGCGTTAGCTTACGTACTTTGGGAAAAATCACTCGTCGAGTAGCTTCAGTTTTGTCGTCGAAAGCATCGCGCTATATCAGAATGCCGGCTACTCTCTCAGAAAAAGAACGAATCATGTGTTCATTTCAAGGAGTGGCTAATATGCCGCAGGTGATTGGTGCTTTGCTTCAGACAACCGTGAGATTTCGGCCGGGAAACTGTGTTCCTAACGATGTTGAGGATTTGTTTGTGGATATTCCACTCAACACAAGCGAACATCTTCATCTTCAAATAGTTTGTGATTCAGCACACAAGATACGAGATCTAGATGTCCGATTGATCGAGGAAAACACCTTAGGTTCCGACATGGAAATGTTTGCACAGTCAAAAATAAAAGATCGGTTCGAACAGAACGAGTTTCGTGGCCGTATCCTTTTGGGAAACGAGACGGTTCGATGCTCGTCGTCACTCTTTACTCCAGTGCAATTTCCAAGAACACAGTCCGAGGAACTCTATAACCATTCCCATTCAGTCACATATGCCTCGGCATGGAAATGTCTCAACTTACTCATAAATCGGTTCGGTATCCTGGGAACTGAAATAATTGGATCTCATGGTTCGGCCAAGCAAACCATTACAGCTCTGTCCATTCTTCACAATATGGCAATGGAATGGGCTGATCCCAGTATAGGTGAGGTTTTAATAATATTTATTAAATTGTTTGATTGATTAATTATATCCTTCTCTTTTTAGACATGGAACTTAATATTTCGCCATTGAAATCATACTTCTTTAATCCTTTTAATAGTGAATTAAAAAAGGGTGAGGAAAGCAACCGAACCCAGTTTATAAAAACGCATTTTTCAAATAAATAAAAGTATTAAAAGAAAACTATTTTTTATTATATACAATAATATAGCTTACTAAAACGTGACCTTGATCTATTTATATGCCACCTGATTGACTTACTTTTCTTATAAAGTTATCGAAGTCCTTTTATGGTTCAGCTGGTCCCCTTTGGTTTATGGATTTAATGTTTAGAGTAAATGTAAAATTAAGAACTTTCTGTTAAAATACAATGAAATAGTTTATATCCTTAAGCAGGTTGCATCTTAAAATTCTGAAAACTTTAAGAATATCGATATATTGATAGTTCGATATCGACATACCTAAAATATCTCAAAATACACATCTCCAGAAATGTGCACATGTGCACAGAAACATCTCAAAATAAAGTAGTTTAGTTTTTTTTTGTCGTAGGCTGTGAAATGTTTTAGTGAAAGAATTTGATTAAAAAAAATTTCAACTGGAAGATACTATATAAGGAAAACAACAACAATATACCCAACCGTGCATTTGCTATTAGTTTATTTTATAGGTATGCTATCGTGTCGCATTTAACCCAGTAATTGGTCTTCTAACGAAACGAATGTTTCTTGTAACTATTTTTCAGTTTGCCTCTTTATACTTGGCGCAATTTTGGAGCTGGAAATGTAATCACATCTTGCTGGCTCACAATTGCTAGTGACCTAAATTACAGGAAACACTAAACCAAACCACCAATTCGAGACTGTCCTGTGACCGAGTGTCATCGAGTTCTCGTCGTCACCGTTGTCGTCGTCGTCCTTAAATCCCTTCCAGAGCGGCGAACAACAACAAAGTAAAGGTCACACGAGTCGCAAAGCAAGTGAGTTTTGGTTGTTTTTTTTTTTTTTTCTGCATTTGACCTGGTTTACGGAGTGAAGAGCCTGTGTGCGGGTGCCAGTGTGGGGGTATTTGTGGGGTTAATGTATACTATATACAGTTTGTTAAGTAATTTTGAAGGTGGAAATTCAAATAACACAAGTCTGTGCATTTTCTGATATGTGAGTGTGTGTTTTGTATTCACTTTAAATGAAAAATGTATTGAAACTAAACGTGCCATCAGCTAGTGGCACTTGCAGGAGTCTAGGTAATTTCCAAATATATAGTTTAAGGGACACCCACTTATGAATCACTTGACAGACTGTATGGGTATATTGTTTACCATCTGCATCCAGGCACCATCATGTGACTACTGACTACTTGCATTCTCTCTATCCACCAGATATGTTTAATCTGCATCAGTAATAATAACGCCAATCAAAAATCATTCACAGCTTAGGCTAATTTTAAGAGTTTTGTGTGTTTAGCCTGGTGAGAAGGCAACGGGAACGAGCTTATTACCACTTCCCATCCAAGAGTATTATAGCACCTGACATGCGTAACAACAGTGGCTATAGCCTAGCCAGCAGTAATGTGAACAACAACAACAACCATAACCACAATTACAACAACAGCAACGGCGCCAAAAACGTTCGCTACTGCAATGTGGACAATACATTTTACTATTATAACTATAACGACTATGACTGTAACTTGAGTCCACCCACGTGGAGTCGTCAAAATCAAAATCAGAATTTAAATCTTAGCCAGAATCAAAATCTCAGCCATCCGTCGAAGCGAATACCCACCAAGCCATCGGCAAGATTGCAATATCAGCAGCCAGCAGCTAATTCGGCACCGGACTCGTCACTCTTCGCGGATGCATTTGGCCAACAGTGTTTGGTGAACCAGCGGATAGCTGGGGGGAACAAGAGCTGCGAGTATGTCTACCAGCCGATGCGGCGAATCGAGGATCAGTACCCCAATGCCAAGGGAGAGTTGAAATATCGGCAACAGCAACAGCAGCCGTCGCATCAACAAATGCTACCACAGTCATCTCTCGTTTATCTCGATACGGATGTAAAAAAGCGAAAGCCGCAGAGGGCCGGCCGCGTCACCGAATATTTGGACAATGGTCCGGATCGGTATCGTGGCCGTAATTCTCCCACGCCGGAGCAGACATGGGATGCTATACTGTAATTTTGAAAATGCATTTTTGTTAATTGTCCTGCTTGTTCAAATTACATATTACAATCTCCAGTACACGCACATTAACACGTATTTTGTTGTTGCTGTTGTGTTCGAGAATTCAAAAGTAAAGTTAAAGTTTTGGACAAAACAACCGATAGAAAACCACATACAAAGTTCTAGTTGCGAGTAAATAGCTACTATATACCCAAACATACATATACCCCACATATATACACTCATTAAACCTACAAACAGACATGCATACATACATTTGTGTGTAAACAATACTATTCGATATCCCTGTTGTTTATCCAGACAGTATTAACCGATGCTCTGATTTCTTTTTTCAGCTCTGAACGTGCCGTGCAGTACCCGACAACGAATCAGCACTATCAGCATTATTTTTCGTATTTTTACAATCGTGGAGCTGAAAAGTTGTCGAAGCCGTCGTTTGCCGTCGTCAATAGCCGCAAACTGCCAATGAGTAAAGTTCAAAAGCCAGACTCCAGTCGACGGGATTCGAGGGACTTTGGTGACTCTATCACCATCTTTGGTCGGCCAGATGCTGCCGAGGACAGGAACTGGCAGAAATCCGAGAAGAATGTGCTGAAGGAGAAGCTGCCGAGCAATGACTTGAAACAGGGTTATATCGACGATGGATGGGGCGAGACGCTAGTCGGCAACGGCAACGCGTTGCGACTGAAGGCTGGGGAGGATTTGAGGGACATTAACGATGGCTACGATTCCCCATCCCTAGATGATGACGACCAATTCGAGCAGGTCCATCGCCGCTATTGCAAAGTTTCCGAGAACACCGCCCTAGATGCTGCCGGAGATACCATAGTTAACAACAATAACAATGAGCTGAAACTTGTCCGCAAGCCAGTAGACCAGCTGCCAATGCCTCGGCTGCCGATGACACCGAGAAGGGTCAAAGGTGGCACTGTATCCGCTAAGAAACCCCAACCCACGGTGCACCGAGTTCTGCTGTACAGCACCCAGAGCCCCAGGATGGGACGCAAGCAGCCAAACCAACGGAGTCTCAGCCAGAAATCAAAGTCGTTGGGTGGCGGGGACGAGGGCCAGACGGTAATTCTGCTGGAACCAGAAGCCAAGCCCGAGGACCGACGCACTCCCATCGACTTTGACAACAACGAGGATTTTGACGATGACGACGACCTCGACAATCGTGAGTATAGTGTTTGTTGAATTCTAAATCCGAGCAGAAATAAAAATATCCACTCTTTACAGTCTCGAATTTCGATGAAAGCGATACGGCAAGTATTTTGTCGGACACCGAAGACGGTTATCGTGCCTATGCCTACAAGCTAACACACTCCGTGGATCGCTTTGCATCGTCGCACAGCACCCCGAGCTTCGTGTCTTCCCAAAATTCTGATGAAGATCTCAAGAACCCTGACTCGCTGCTGGTGCCCAGCCTGTTTCCCTACGTTCCCCCATATCTGTCGTTCTCGTCGAACACTAAGAAGGGCCCCAAGGTGCCGCCCGAGCTTCATCGAGTGCTCAAATGGCGTGTTACAAACATAATGCCCAAGGTGGTTCGTCTCATCTTAGCGAACAGCGGGATGCGAATGTTAAAGAGTAAGTTTTTTCAGTCTAGATACCTTTCTAATTAATAAACCATTTTTTTAACAGAAACCAACGATTGGATGGGTGTCTGGGGCAAGCATTTAAAGTCGCCGTGCTTCAAGACCATTCGGTCGTATCAGAAAATCAATCACTTGCCGGGCTCCTTTCGCATCGGCCGCAAGGATTCGTGTTGGAAAAACCTGCAAAGGCAGATGATGAAGCACAGTAACAAGGAGTTTGGCTTCATGCCACGCACCTACATTATTCCCAATGATTTGGGGGCGTTGCGACGTCACTGGCCGCGCTATGCCCAGCGGAACACGAAATGGATTATAAAGCCGCCAGCCAGTGCTCGTGGAGCCGGAATTAGGGTAATAAATCGATGGGGACAGATTCCCAAACGCAGGCCACTCATTGTACAAAAGTGAGTCATTCTCTATTTTGTGAGATAATTATTATTTAAAGGTAATATTTCTTGCAGGTATATTGAACGTCCTCTTCTTATAAATGGTAGTAAATTCGACTTGCGCCTTTATGTGCTCGTAACATCCGTGAATCCACTGCGAGTGTTTATGTATCATAATGGACTAGCACGATTTGCTTCAGGTAATTATATAGCTGGATATTTATGCTATAACTTGACTATCTTCTTTACTGTTCACAGTGAAATATAGTGCCAAGACGGACACCCTGAATGATCGTTGCATGCATTTGACTAACTATAGCATCAATAAATTCTCTTCGAACTATTCCAAGAACGAAGATGTGAATGCATGCCACGGTCACAAGTGGACGATCAAGTCTTTGTGGACTTATTTGGCCAATCGAGGCGTACGTACCGACTGCCTTTGGGAAGCTCTCCGCGGTTTAGTTCTTAGAACGATTTTATCTGGCGAGAATGGAATTAATAGTATGATCAGAGCTAATGTTGAGTCCAAATACAGTTGCTTCGAGCTTTTTGGCTTCGATGTGATTCTGGACGCTGATCTAGTTCCCTGGCTGTTGGAAGTGAACATATCGCCGAGCTTGCACTCTGAACTGCCATTAGATGCTCATGTGAAGGCACCTTTGGTGCAGGGTGTTCTCAACACGGCCTTGTATAATGTGAGATTTTTATTTTTAATATATTTGTAAAGTACTTAAATATTTACCTTAATATTTCTTTAGGTACCTCCCAAGTTATCGCTGGATAAACAAAAAGAACTGGCCGCTGAATTTTCGTTTCCCCCTGGAACCCAAATGTGTTATGATAAACGGCTTTATATCAATTATCTATCCCGCGAGGAGAAAGTGAAACACAACACCTTCACAAGAAAGACCATGGAAGATCGTAATGAGGTAAGCTAGACCCACAACACAATGATTTGGTTTCTAAAATATATTTTTATTTAAATAGTATGTTGATGCGATCTTGACTAACCTCACTCCCGATGATGTACGCTGCCTCATTATCGCCGAGGATGAACTGGCGCGATGTGCTCCTCTGGAACGCATTTTTCCAACCGATCAAACGTACAAGTACCTTAAATATAACGATAGTCCGCGGTATTATAACCGTCTGTTGGATGCCTGGGAGTCCCGGTATGCCAACAATCGTACAGAAGGCATTGCGTTGCTGCGAGACCTCTGCCAAAATAAATATCATCTTCAGGTTCCATCACCGCCAGCCAAAAAGGTGAGATCTCTATTCATCAATGGTGCACACGCTTTTCACAAGACTCATTTGAAATTATCGTGAATACAATACTTGGAAAGGGGTATACTATTCATTAAGCAGATATTAATTTTGTTTTTCAGCTTATTATTTCTGCCAAAATTTAAAGAAAATATTTACTTTAGTTCTTATCCTTATACAACCGAGTGCAACTCGCACTAGGTTTGTATTATTTTTCCTATAGATTTTATACAATTTCTTATCAACCAATTATTTTATACACCAAAAATTATATGAAACGAACTACAAAAAAAAAAAATCAGTTTAATATAAAACATAAATTCTTGACTTTTGTTAAATTTTGAGGGCTGTTGGAGATTGATACAATCGTTCTTTTGGCGCTGCCGTGCTTTTTGCCATCGTAAGTTTTATCTGTTGACCATTCAGGGTCAGCCTCAAATCCAATTAAAAACTCCAATATTAGTAGATAGAGAGAAAACCAGTAAGCTTGTTATAATATCGTATTGTCTTTATTTGAAATGATATATCCAGAGGACTACAAAGTGTATTTGTCATCTCTACCGGTTAACTAAAATAACGTAAAAATCTTTTGTTTTCTTTACCAGTAATGCCTAGGTAAATAACAAAGCTTAAATTAAATTTTAAATGTAGAGGGATGGTGAAATAGTGTTGTTCTCTATTGCCGTGAGGCCCCCCCCATACTTAGTTTCTAAATCCAAAATATTCTTTGTAATCAATAAATGTTTTCATAGAAGTTTGAATAAAATTAAAAATAAAATTCACCGAAGCCATACATATATGTATTGCATAGAATTAACAATTTTATGTTTTTTCGGTATCACTATAATTTCTTTTTATGTCTCCTATTATGTATGTACATGTATTTGAAGTATATTGAAGGTGATCACACTGCATACTCTTTACACATGAGCCCCGAACAAGAATTTCTTTCGACGCCAGGTGGGTTTTTCGATCAGTAATTCAAATGCAAACGGCTACCCATTCCTAGCTTTATCAATGCTGACCTCGGATCCATCACAATAGGCATATGAATGTACATTTTGTAATCAAGGAGCTTTACTAAACAAACAAAATGCGCCCCAAAATCTAAATCCATCGCCAAAGTAGTATATTATTTGTAATTTTAACTTTTCATTAAAATTCATTAAATTGAAAAAGAATCTAGGAATTTATTTATACTGGATCTTGTAGAAATGAAATTTTTAATTTTATTTTATTTAAAATTTTAATCGTCGAAATAGCTTCAAAGGCGTTTAAAAATAGTAACACCTCAAAATGGGCTAAAGATTAGATTACTGCAGTCTTAGCTAAAAATTTTTACACTTCAAAACTATAATTGAAAATCACCTTCATTCAGATTTTAAGGAAATTTTAGCTTAGTTTCAGCTCTGTTAATTTTTTGTTTTAATCTTTTATTCCACTCATAACCTTTTAAAAATGATAGCACTGCTGCTAAACTCCTAATTTCAATATCCTCCAACATAAACATACACATATTCTTAAAAATAATCATTAACTTTTCGTAATCCTCAAATCATTGCAAATATTCGTTTGATTTTTCTCTAATATATACAAAGTTAACTAGTACTTGTATTATCTAAAGTTGGATCCAAATAACAACAATATGTTTTGTGTGTAATTGTAAAATTGCAGGATTACTTCATCAAGTTTATGAGATGGATATTAAAGTGACAGTCGCTGCCATCGTATTATTGGTAGTCATTATTGTTATTGTTAGTGCAATTACCTTAGTGATAATAAAATATGTATATATTTGATATTTATTATTAATATTAATAAATTCAAAAATATTTGTAAATAGGTTATTGAAATATATAAGCCAGAATGATGTACTGTGTTTTGGGATATTTGCCCAATTGCGTAATTCGTAACTAAATTGTGATTCCCGTTTTTTGTAATAGATTGGACTAGTATTATTTCTATAAATGAATTTACTATAAAATTCTTAGATATTACTAAATTAATGAATATGTTGTACTCAATTAATTGTAGTAAACTGCCAATCATTTAAACCCGAAAAGATTGATGTATTTAAATTTAAAAAAATATGAAAATTTAATGAAATTAAATAAACTAAAACATTTGCGTTATAAGTAAAAAAAAAATATTGTAAAAAGTTCCAAAATTATGTTTTAAATTTTAAACGTTCTTATAAGAAACATTTTTTTTTGTTATGGTTTCAAAAGGGTCAGGAAAGTTTTCAGTTAAGTATTTTTTCATTTTGTCTAATAATTTTTAAGGCAAGAAAGGTTGAAAAAATTAAATCGATTTTAATGTTCTTAGAACCAAGATTTTCAAATATTTTTAAAAAAATCGACACTGCTAAAAAGGGGACTTTGTCTAAATATTGTAAGAGTTAAGGTAAAAAAAAAAAAAATTTAAATATTTGGTAAGTATTATGTTTTAGTTGTTATTTTAAAAGTTATGTTATCAGGCTAAAATAAATAGTCGTACCATATTTGATTTAATTTTGAAAATTTTGTAATCATACAATGGCGGCTACTTTGCTTATCACTTTATTCCCTTGATGTGAAAACTATAGTGAACTAATCTTTCATCTATTATCCTACTATCCAATATGTATTTACTTTTTTATCCCATTATTTCACTTTCCTAGTAGTATTTATATGTTGCAATTTTAGAATTATCTATAAACATATAGCTTATTTTTAAATATGTGTGTTTATTAGCAATATTAATAGTAAATTTTAATTTTGGCTTGTTATTACTCTTTTCTATCAAGCATGCACCAAATATGAAAAAGCTCGTTTATGACATATATTTTTCATATTGGCTCTAAATCAGAAAAACATACCTACATTTGTTTAAGCTTTAAACTTTAGATGTAAAAACATCGGAATTCCGATGGTACTTTATACTCTTCATTCCTCTTAATATTCATTATTTTTGTCTTTATTGTAATTAACATTTGAAATTTTAAATTTAGGAATCGAACGTTGAAGAGAACGAGACTAAAGATACACCAACTACTGCTACTGCTTTTAACCAGGAAGATGCAAATTGTTAGCATCGGCATTTAAAATAATTTATAAACGTCACTGACATGCTCAGTTGTGCAGGCAAGTTATAATATTAATATTAATATTCTTAAATAACCAATTAATTAATTTTATTATATTTATAGATACCAATGGGATAAACTTTTCCTACAAAATAGCATTTGGCGTAAACACCTTGAATTTTTAAGTGTAGAAGAATTCCGATATTTTCCCCATGTTCGGCACCGTAGAAATTAGAAATGTACCTAATGTATTTAGTAAGATGTTGATATATCCGAATTATTAAATTGTATGTTACAAAAAATACAAGTCTTTTCTCATTTAGTAATCTAAGTAATATGAAAGAAACAAGTTTACAAATCAAAAAACTCATTTTATTCGTCGTTATCAAAATCAAAGGTCACACTTTATGTTTCTAAAAAATGTCCTTTATCTCAAAATCAATATAAAAACGTAAAAAAAATAATCAGTTCTGTCTGATATGTGTCGTACGAGTACGCTCATCGTGATTAGTTATAAAAGTAGAATGGAATGATAAATGTTTAGTTGCCTTTCCAAAGGCAAAATGTTAAGGATTACAAAAAGTATAGCTGGTTCTCCAGTCCAGACGACGGCGAGCGATTGATGCTCTCGGCAACAAGGAACGCTAGCTTATGGGCGTACTGGCACACCGATGGAACACGGCAGGTTCCAGAGTAATTGTAGTACATGTGAGTCATCTTGTAGGCCAGCATCTGCAACTTGTCGGCACTCAGACCCATGTTGTCCTGAATGACGTTGTAGTTGGTGGGCGACACAGTTCCCTGACGAACGGCCTGCGACACCAAAAAGAAGTCATAGCGCTCCGGCAGCGTAATGACGTCGTCAACGACCGTTCCTGGTACAGGATTCCGCTTGTTCATGAAGTAGCGAGTGTTGATGCGCTTGGCCACAACGATAAAGGCCATGCGGCAGCCATCCTCCTTACCAGCCGACTTGTAAATTTCGTCCAGTTTTGCCTTCAAAAACTTCACCTCGGTATTCACCACCTGGTACAACTGTCCATCACCGACACCATCGCGGAAGAACAGGATACGCTCGGGCAATGAACCGTGGTGCTCACGATAGGCCTTAAGAGCGTATGTCATGTTCATAGCCATCTGATCGGACAACTCTTGACCCTTCATGTGCTCGGTCACAGACGAGAAGTAGCGAGTGGAGGTCTTCATGTCCATAGTGGCCACCAGAGCTCCGTACGACTTGTTCTTGTTCTTTGACGAGTGGCACACATCGAAGCCAACGGTCATTAAGCCCCGAACCGGAAGCTCAATCATCCAAGGAGCGCCCATTAGCTTGGCATTCATCTGGATTACCACTTTGGTGGCAATAGACATCAAGCCAGCTGCTTTCTCCTGGCGCGGAGCAATGGTTTTCAATGTCACCACTTGAGATGGCACCGGGCGATCAACGCAGGTGCGTTTCTTGATGCAAGAGTACCTGCCACATAAGGAAAATGTTAATAAGATTACCTTTTACCAATCAAGGAATTGTTACATACTTCTCCTCGTTGGGGGCCTTGAGAACGAGCATTACAATTTGCGGATCCTTGGCCACGGCATTGTCAATGGCTTGAGAATAGTTGCTGTTGCGATCGTCGGCGATTTCCTCACTGCAGAGAAATTAAAATAAGTTACCTTCATACCTTCAAAAGATTTATGAACCAAACTTACTATCGTGGCTCGGCGATGCGCATTTTCATGCCGCTGGCTGAGCGGATGCACATCTTCACAAACTCCTGAGTCTCGCGCGAATTACGACGTGGTGTGATCACGTACCACCTCTTGATGTCCACATGGCTGAACATCGAAGATTGACGGAACTCACCAGTCCAATCGGCACGAGAATCGCACAAGTATCTCTTTACCATCACCGAAAACAATACGCTCTGGGGGAAGAATTCGAGCCGGAATCTCCACCAAGGCAGAGTCGAGCTCAATGTTCCAAGAGCGCATAACTTCCGTGCTCTCCTTGGATTGCTTCAAGCGCTGGTTGAACGCACGCAGGCGCTCAATACGGCGATCAGGAGTCAAGCGGGTATGTTCGCTCATTGCCTTCATCAAACTAGTAATAGTATGTTATATTAAAACTAAAGTCTAAGAAATAATCTATTTTGAAACAAACCGAAAATTGGCACGCATGGCATCAGTCATTCCAGTAGCCCGAGCCAGCTCGGGAATCAGCATAATTAACTGATCTAGGCCGCTACGAATGTTCTTCTCAGTGGGACGAGACACAATAAGCGGTTGCTTGTAGTCTCGAATAATAATATTATAACGCTGTAATATATATATTATTAGACATATTTTTTCTATTTATTTTCATTTTTAAAATATACCTTTTTATAATATTCTACGTAAGAAATTTTGCCCTCCTTGGTTTCGAATTTGGACAAAGGCGAGGATGAAAAGTCAACATCGTCCACACGGTAAGTCTTGTTATTGTAGTCCGTCAACACCACCATACCTGAATATTGGAATTATTTTTTTAACTTTCCATAAAATAAAATTAAAATTAAAACTCACCCATAACATTACGCTTGAAAGCATTTTGATAATCGTCACTATCTCGAATATTTTCGGACAAAATGTTGTACAAGGTATCAGTACGCATCACCTTGTGAGCAATCTCAGCGCAAAGCAAGATATCATTCTCATGCTGACGAATCGACGTCTGATATCCTGGCCAGAGTTCCATACGATAGTTTTCTAGGTTTATCTGAGAGACAACAAACATAATGATACTGTAATATAATTTAAACTTCATTTTGATTGTTTCTTTGTACCTTTGCTTGAGGATCGAAGAAATTACGAGCCACCAACTGCAAGTTTAAACCTTCCATGGCTCTACGCAAAATAAGATTAAGCACTTGAAACTGCTGGTTGTCGGCAGCCTCCACAGAACCGACATGCTTTATCTTAATTTCGATATATTCGCCAGCTCGATTCTTGGTAACAAGCTCCTGAACATAGTTACTATTCGGCAGCTGTTTAAATTGGTTGCAGCAGAATAGAATAGTTCCATCAAAGATGTAGCCACCAAAAAGTTGTTTATGCTCGTTCATATAGGCACGACGAAGGCGAGTATTGTCCACCTCAGGAACAAAATCAACGCGATACTGGTATATAGTCCAGCTTGGGCGCTTCATCACCCTATAGTAGTTGGTCTGAACCGTTACTTTGGTTCCAGAGCTACCATTTTTGGAAGCACATCCAGGAGGACGAGAGGGAACCACATCGGTGATCACACGACGACCACGGACGGAGCCACGGGGATCACCTGAATGCAATTAGAATATAAAATAACAAATATTTTCATAAATTTGACGATTTGCCACATACCTTCGGAAGTAGGTGGCTCAGTTTCACCAGACCCTCCTGCAGATCTCAGCGTCTCCATAGATTTCAGATTTTCCTTAGCCCTTGCCAAATCCGAAATTTTCTTCATTTCGCCAGACTGAATAGTTTCCGCAGCCCTCTGAGTCTGCCGATCTCTCGGCAAATCTCTAGCTGCTTCACTACGAGATGTCTGCGACGAATGATCCGACCCTTGATCACCCTAAAATAAATGTTTGATTTTAAATTAAATTTGAAACAAAGCTTTCCAGCAATTTTTAAAACATGGCGTAATGCCACATGAAACATGAACGATCATGTTTGTTAAACAGCCAAGAACTGGCAACCATGGACGGCGTCTTCATTTTGACTTTTCCTTCTCCATTTTAAAACGTGTGTGTGTGTACCCACCGTTCCATTCCACTTCGTTTCATATTGCGCGACGAGAAGGCATCACAACTTTTCAAGCACTTTCATTTTTCTCAAAATTTGCACATTTTTTAGCGAGTTTTTAAAATGTATTTAATGTTCATATGAGCGAGTATTGGATGTTTACATCTTTTCAGATACATTTTTTTTGGTTCTCTTTTTAATTCATTGAAATATTATCGGCGTGGTCATCAGAATTTGATTTTTTTTTATTATGATGCCGCAAGGTTAATGCCACTAAAACTACTTTGTTGATCCGCACAATTTTTACATAAAAACATAAATACATACATACATACATACATATGTATGATGTATGTATGTATGTATGTATGTATGATGTATGATGTATGTATGTGCATTTGCATGTGGGATCACAAAATTATCTTTCTCTCTTCCACACTTTTTTGAATTTTCTTAATTATTAAGTTCGGTATAAGACTTGATCATTAAAATATTGTGGTAGGAATATTTAACTCGTAAGAACTTGAAGCACGCATTAAAGATGATGATTTTTCACGTCAAAACTTAAGTTACAGAAGCTTATGTTCATTTTGGCGAAGATGAAACGTGTGGAATGTTAGGAATAGGAAAAACGGTACTGTGTGTGCGTGATGAAGTCAGTAGATTTTTCTGTTCAAGGTTACTTTACGAAAATCTTTTTCAAATGCAAGACTTAATAATCATACTGACTGAATGCATAAGAACACTTCACTTCATTTTAATGATCATGATTTTTATTTTAAATTAGAAAATTTAAACTTACAAGCATAGCAATACCGCGGTTGGCCTCATCCTTGTTCTTGTTACCTCGTCCTCGTCCACGTGAAGTACCAGCAGTTGGGGGCAAATTCATCTTCACTTCACTTAACTTCTTTACTTTTTTATTTTTTTTTTTTGCAAAAGTTTTTTTCCTGCTCAGCTTTTTTTCTTATTTGCTCCCGTTCTTGCTTCCGCGCCGGTTGTCAAATAATGCATAGGAGGATGGAATATTCGATTCAAGAATCGAGTGCTTTTCTTGATATCGATAATCGATATGAGGAATTTTGGCACGACGGTTGATGCACCCTGTGCATAATAGCGATTATCCAATACATCTTCTCCAACACTAAATAAGTAAATTTTCAAATATTTAGATTGCCCGGTTTTTTTAAAAAACAGTTTTTTATTTAAAATATATATATTTAAATATAATAATTTGTGAAAAAACCTAATAAATTATTTTGTTCCAGGTTTTTCCTACAGAATAATTGGGAATAATAATTGGATCTTAAAATCTTTTTTTGTATTCTGCTAAAGATCGGATAGGTACATAAATTAAATTAAATATAGGCCAATCGATCGATTTTCCACCAAACTGCATCAACATTTTTTTTTTTAGATTTTTGTCAAATTTTTGGGAGTCCCCTTAAAATGTTGAAAATACATGGGGTACCAATATGGCCACAGCGATGGCCATATCTTTGTCAATATTAATCCGATCGTTCAGCGGAATATCTTAATGATTTGTGATCGATTTTGCATCATCTACATCAAATCTGGGAAGAAATTATTTTTAGATTTTTGTCAAATTTTCTTGGGGATCCCCTTAAAAATGTTGAAAATGCATGGGGTTTCATATGGACACGTGGCCATATTTCATATTAATGTCCTGAGGTATCTTAACGATTGTTTTTTTAATCTGCATCAAAATCTGGGAAGAAATTATTTTTTAGATTTTTTGTCAAATTTTCTTGGGGACCCCTTAAAAATGTTGAAAAATGCATGGGGGTACCAATATGAGCCACAGCGATGGCCATATCTTTGTGAATATTAATTTGATCCTTGAGCGGAGTATCTTAAACGATTTGTAGATCGATTTTCCATCAATCTGCATCAAAATCTGGGAAGAAATTATTTTTTAGATTTTTTGTCAAATTTTTTGGGGTCCCTTAAAATAACATGGGGTCATATGAGCGCATGGCCTATCTTTGATATTAATCGATCTTGACGGGTATCTTAAATTGTGGTTTTGTCATCTGCTCAAATCTGGGGAATTATTTTTAGATTTTTGTCAATTTTCTTGGGGATCCCTTAAAATGTTGAAAATGCATGGGGGTCTTGGCCCGGATGGCCATATTTTGTGAATATTAATTTGATCTTGGGGTATCTTAACGTTTGTGTATTTTTATCGTCAATTCTGGGGGAATTATTTTTAGATTTTTTTGGGGTCCCTTAAATGTTGAAAATGCTGGGGCTGGCCGCGTGTCCTATCTTTGATATTATCGTCCTTGGGGAATCTTATGGTTTTTGTCATTTAATCTGGGGATTTTTTGATTTTGTATTTTTGGGGATCCCTTAAAAACGTTATTGGTTTTCGATGTTTATTGCACGCTTTCCCTAACTGCACCAATTTTATCAATTTATCTGAGGGATCCTTTCCAAAATGGTGAGGAAACCATGGAAGGGACTATATGGCTCACAACCAAAGCTGATCTTTGATAGTATTCATTTTATTCTTAAGCGGAATACCTTAAACGGTATGAAAAGGTATGGGAATAAAAATATCAGCCTCAACAATGGCTGTTACTGTCAATATTCGATCAATAATACACTTTTAAGAACCTATTGATGCTAAACTCCCATATTTAAGAGTTTCCAGCTGATGTGGAGTTATTTCATCTTGATTGTTAATGAATAAAAAAGACTGATTAAGATTAGACAGATATTCATCCTTATTGAAAGTTTCGGCCGTTGGTTTTTATTAACATTTTAGGTAGAAACACAATATAAAAGTCTAAGCTTCCACTTTCACAACGGTTGTCTTCTCGGACACGTACAGACCGTCAAGGAATTTACGGATATCCTTGTTCTTAACGGTGGTGGACTGTTGGATGAGAGCGGCAGATCCGGAGACAGCTTCGATGTCGTTGCCCTCCACGATGAGCTCGTCCTTTTGGGCAGTCGAGTTGACGACGGTCACACCGGGTGCCATCTCAACGCGACGAATGTACTTCTCGCCCAAGAAGTTACGGATCTCAATGACTGTGTTTTGCTCAGAGGTGACGCAGTTGATGGGGAAATGGGCATACACAGCGCGCATTTTGTACTGGAAGCCGAAGGTGACTCCTGCAAGATAAATAAATTATTTAATTGAAGCAAAACTTTCCCAAAAATTGCACCCAGACTTACCCTTGATCATGTTCTCGATGTGGCTGCAGACGGTGCGCACAGCGGCCAGCTCCTTCTTGGTGCCGAACCACTTCTCCACTTTCAGGGTGCGCTTGTCGGGCATGTACATGTCCAGAGCCAGATGCTTGAAGCTACGCTTCAGCGTGCCGCGAGTGCCGGTGATGGTCACGACACGGGCCTTGACTGTGGCCTTGATGTCCTTGGGGATCTTCACGCACTGGTTGGAGTTGATCGTTCGCATCTTGATGACAAACTAACGAAGAAATAGAAGTGATTAGACTCATTCTTTAGGAAATAACATAAAAGAAAGTATTTGCCAATCCAATCAACAGGTGAAATTTCGCATTTCACTCAATTCCACTGTTTATTCCATAATCACAACGAATCTTATTTATACATATTCGCACATTGCATGTCCATATGTACGCATGTCGATCGTCCCAACCAAAAACAGACTCATAGTCGCTTTAAAGGGCAAATACACACAAAAAACCAGTCCTGGCCGTTAGCGCTTCCACATGACGCCCCAGGCGTTGACTCGGGTGCACAATTTCATCGAGAAAAGCCAATTTTTTTCATAAATAACCCACGTGGAGCATAAATGCACATACCTAGCCGGAAACGAGAACCGAAAAGAAGGAAAATAGTGTGGCAGTAGCTAGGCCAGTATTGCCAGGTTGTGTCCAAAAATTTGCCCCATCTAGTATTTTTTATTCCTAAAAATTATAATTTCTTGTGGGTATTTTTTTTAATTTGTCATTTATATTTGTTTTTACTTTGAATAAAATTATATAAATATTAAGAATAAATGTGGACAAAAATGTTTTCTGGAATTCCAAAGCACAAAGCAGGAAATCATTGATATGGCAGCATCGTTGGTTTAAAACAAAATTTAGTTGGCAACACTAACCCTAAAAACAATGTCAGTTTTCGAATATTTTGAAATACATATATTTAAAATAGAAACAAAACACTTAACTGAGCTGTTATGTACTTATAAACCATTAGCTTTATGTTTATCTAAAACGATTTTAGTACGTTTTATATAAGGGACGGTTTTAAAAAAAACTATATTAAATTATTTTCTTACTAAATAAATACTAAATAAATAGATTGTTTTTGTTACTCTTCATTTTAAAATAAAACTATTTAAAACAGATACTGTCGTTGTTTTACGCAAAAAGATACTATCGTAGCCATGGCGCAAAATCCCGAAATTAGTGTTGAAAAGGGTGGCAACATTTGCCTAAATGTCTCACCTTTAGGCGGGAGCGTGGGTTAGAGCTGGAAAAACATCGATGTTGGCCACAATCGATGTTGTCGATGTTTTGGGATGAAAACATCGATTATAATCGATTATCGAAAAAAAAAAACAAATATTTTTTTTGCCGTTTAAATTAATATTATTTAATTGAGATCAGAAAGGAAACTGTTTTTGTTCAAAAATAACAACTTATTCACTATATTTGGTTTTAGAGAACTCCTACGCTCACTAATGACTTGACCAGCTTTGCTGAAGATCCTCTCGGACGCCGTGGAGGATGCTGGAACGCAAAAGTATTGCTTCGCTATGCTTTTTAAAGCTTCCATGGAATCTGGGCATGTCTATAAAAATAACCATTAGATTTAAAAGGATAAATTGTACAATTTCAAACCTTGTAGAACTCTAGGGGCTCGACGTTTTCCGGGAATTTGGGGCCTCCAAATACTGCCTCAGAGCTATAATAGCGTCTGTCCTGGTCGACTTCGATTTAACAGCTACTTTTTGCTGTAGGAACGTAAATTTTTCTTTTCCGGTTCTGGATTTGGTGGTGTTGGAGGATCGTGCTGTGTTTTGGACAATGTGTTGAACAACTCGTTTTCTAAAGCCTTAGCCGCTTGGTCTGCATTTGATTGAGACAGAAACCCATCTTTTTTAAACCTTGAGTCCAGAATAGTTGCCACTCTTGGGACTGTTCTTGCTTCATAATGGGCGAAACGCTCTGGCATACGAGCCGTTAAAAATCGAAAATTGATTTCCCCTCTGTAGTTTTAATGTTTGGCTTAATATCAACCATCTTTTTTATTTAATTCGCAAATGACAGGAATTAATATTGATATTGAAGCGTTCTTTTCTTGGGAAATTGACCTTGTAGCGTGCTCAAAAGGCTCCAAAATGTTTGCAAAGTCTTCTAAAAAAAAGATGTCCTCTGCTGAGAACGGCTGTGGGGCTTTTGGTGTGACCAGAAGCACTGTTGAAATGTGGTCATTTGTGGCTAATATGCGCTGCACCATGTAAAGAGCAGAGTTCCAGCGGGTGGGAACCTCTTGGACTAAGCTATATGCTTTTTTAGAACCTTGGGCCTGCTTAAACTTTTCATAAGCAATCGTGCTGCTTTTAAAAAAAGACACTATACGTTTACATTTTGATATGGACGGAGACACCATTGGGAGCTTCAGCACTTCCTGGACCAGCAGGTTAATGGTATGTGCGAAGCATGGCAAGTGCTTTAACTCCAAATTTCTACAGGCCTTTACCATGCTCGCGTCATTATCAGTGACAATAGTTGTCACTTTTCTAAGTAAATCCCACTCGGTTAATACGCTTTTTAAAGAAGCCGCTATTGTATCGGCTGAATGGCTTGTTGGAGTTATCAACTTATCCGTTGATAAAACTGCCGATTGGAGATCAAATTTGGATGAAATAAAGTGAACAGTCACTGTAATATACCCTTCATTGGCTTTTGACGTCCAGCAATCCGTTGTAATGCCAACGTGCTCCACTTGGTTTAAAACGTCTTGGAGTTTGATCCTTAAGGCCTCGTATTCGCTTTTAAGGGTAACATTACGCATATGCGTTTTGCTTGGCAGCTTATACATCGGATCCAAGGTTTTTACCAGGTATATAAAACCTGGATCCGTTACTACGCTAAATGGTTGCACATCTTTGGCTATCATTTTTAAAACAGCTTTGTCAATTGCAGCCTTCCGTGCAGAGCCATTTTCATATTGCTTCGTTTTGTTTAAGAACTTGTCCATACATGGCGACAGCGAACTGGGATTGTTTTGCACACTGTCTAAATGATGAGCAGTATTTAAGTGCTGCATTAAATTGCTAGTATTTCCCGAAGTCTTATAGACTTTACCACATTTCAAACAAGTCGCTGTTTGATTTGACCCTTTTTTGAAAAATTCCCATACCTTTGATATTTCCTTTTTTGTCCGCTTGGGACTCGGTATGTTTTCATCGTTCTCGTTGTCCAACACAGTTCCGGTTCCTGTATTAAAAGAAATAAGTGTTAATTAGTTAATTAAAGAATGTATGTACATATAATCCGTGTACTACATATGTACACGTATGTGAAAAGGGAGAATACATACATACTCGCATGTACATGTACACATGCATGCATGCAAGTTTATTCGCACACTAACATATACATACATATACATACATGTGTACGCATTTTGCATAAAATTATGTATATTTCAGTTAACTTACTTTTAATGAACTTGTCCATAACGCAAGCACTTTGCCACCAACACCACCAATATAGTTCACTATAAAATCACTATAAATTCAAGTAAAATAGATTAGTTTTTGTAAAAATTGCGCAAAGATTTTTCTCTGCTTACCACGCTTTCTGTTTCTCGCTTGCAAGTGACGATAATCGATGTTTCCAGAAAACAATCGATGTTAAAAATATTTTTGGCAACATCGATAACATCGATGTTACATCGATGTTTTTTCCACCTCTAGCGTGGGTACATTATCATTACCGGCCTTACACTACGAATTTGGACGGTTTATCGCCGGCTTACAATATTTATTTACTGTCGTGCTTCGCCCAGTCCGCCCACTTTAAGTCTTCAAACGCTCCACCACAAAAAACAATAACACAATGGCCGCAACACAGTCGCAGCCCGACTTTCTGACGACGGCGGGAAATATGCTGGAATTCCACGAAAATATGGACAGGAACAAGCCGGGACTCCTTGAAGTGAGTGCAGCGTGGGTATCTTTAGTATACCACTAATACTAATTAGTTATTTTCCTGCAGCTAACAGGTGTCAGTCAACACGGCAGAGCGACAACCAGCGGGCTTAATGATTACGACTACCAAAGCCTTACATTCATGAAATCGGACGAAACACATAACCTACAACAACTGCGAACGATTAGCAAGTCCAGTATACCCAACGAGATCCTGGAGCACTTCAAACGTAGGAATAATTATATTAAAAATGTAATTTTTGGTAAAAAACCATATAATTTCTTGCAGACATAAAATGCCACTGTACGATGGGACTCTTTCCGGAGATCGGTCGCGCCTGGCTAACCATTGACTCAGAGATATACATTTGGACCTTTAATCAAGCCCGGGATGTCGCCTACTACGATGGCCTAAGCCACCTAATCGTTAGTGTGGGTCTGGTCAAGCCAAGAGATGGCGTTTTTGTGAACGACGTGAAGTACCTCTTGGTGCTTACCACACCCATCGAGGTAATTGTACTGGGCGTCACCTTTGCGGAGAACGCTTACAAAGAAATGCAACTGATGAACAGGCCTATATTCGTCGTCGGTACGGACAACGTTTCCATCAGTGTAATCAAGGGATCCGAGGACGGACGAATTTTTATGGGTGGTCGCGATGGCTGTCTGTATGAGTTTTTCTACCAGGCAGAGTCCACTTGGTTCGGCAAACGTTGTAAAAAGGTTAATCTCTCTCAGGGATACGTGTCTCTCATGGTCCCCAGCTTTCCTGAAAGTTTTTTCGGTAAATAATCTTAAAAAAAAACACTTTTCTTCCATGATTTTGATTGATTATTTTGTAGGAAACGGATCCCATTGAACGCATTGAGATTGATAATAGCAGAAAGCTGCTTTATTTGCTCACGGAAAAAGGATCGATCGAAGCCTGGGATATCGGAAGGGATTACACGCATGCCAGAAGGCTGGGAAGAATGACACAAAACGATATGGCAAGCCAAGCAGTTGGTTTAATAACGTACGTTTTGTGGTGTCTATTTCATTGAGCAAAAGTAACATTTTCTTCATTTTAGTACCTTGGATCCATCCATATTCAAGAGTGTCAAAGCCATTTGCCCTCTGACCGCCGATGACTCAGACAAACTGCACCTCATGGCCGTCACACAGTGTGGTGTGAGGCTATATTTCTCCACAAAATCGCTAAATGCACAAACCGGCCTTAGTGCCTGCCCGCCATCAGATAATGTCCTCTATGGTCAGTCCAACCAAGCATCAATATTGGCAGAAACTGAACCTCCAAAAGGACTATACTTGTATCATGTACGCCTCCCGCCCGGGCACACGCCCAACGCCACCACCAACAAACCAAAGCAAGTACATGCCGCATTTTACACGGAGGGCACCATGCTGATGATCACAACGCAACAGCAAGAGCAGGATCTGCTGTGGTCAGTTAGCTCGGCACCGTCAGTGAATTTCCCTTACCTGGTAGAATCCACGGCGCTGGAGAGCCTGGACGGAGTGGTTTGGGGTATGGCTGAAGTCGAAGAGCCGTCGCAGTCAAAGCTAAAGTCCCCTTTGAACAGCGCAAGATCCTCGAGGAAAGTGGCGTTGTTGACCAATCAGGGCACCCAAATCATAGAGCTGCTGAAAATGGCCGACATCCTAATGCAGATCCTCCTGGCGTGTAATGGTCCTCATCACGAAGAGGTTAAAATGTTCTTCCACTCAAAGAACCAGCGCGAGGCCTGCGTTACCGCTCTTCTGCTGGCCACATCGGAGCGGTATCGCGGCGGTGAAATCCACCTGTGGGCCACCCAAGCGTTTATGCTGTACGGCGGTGAACCGTGCTTCCAGCACCAAAAGTTCGCCAGCGCCAATAACCGCAATGTGGCCAACCAAACCCTGGGTCCAAGTCCCAACGTTTCGGTCGCAAGGGACCGTTTACCAATGTACATGTCCACGCCCATGCCAAATACCGGAGCGGCTGGCAATTCTTTTCCAGCTTCGCAATACAATGTGCCACTTAGTCCTAGTAAGTCAAGGGAATATCCTAAAAGAAGGATAATCTTAATTAAATATTAAATATTATTTTTTTAAGTTGGAATCAATCAGCAAACGCAACAGCCATCCGTTAATAACGAAAATTCACCGATCATCTTCTCTGCCAAACACGACGGATTGTACCTGTACGTTGGCAGGATGCTGCGTCCCATTTGGCAAATGCGTTGCGTGGATGATAACTTTTGCTCCAAACTGCAAGTGCAGGATTGTGATGGTTTGCTTTGTGATCTACTAGCCTTGCGGAGTTTCTTGGAAGCTCACTCGGTTCATGATATTTCCAGTAAGTTGCCACAGGCATAAACCATTTTGTATCAACAAATAATATGATATGCTTGTTTATAGCTTCGAATCGTGCCCCGTTTGAAAGCCATATAGATCGGACCAGCGGGTACAGTAACATCTTAATAAACAACAGCCACATGCCCCTTACAGAACAAAGAAATTTGAGCGAGCAGGCTCAGGTGGAAGAGAAGCGATCCCTCTCGTCCCTCAATCTGTTTATAAGTAAGGTTCTAAGTTAAGATTCGTAATTCAATTCTCTAACTAAGCACTTCCTTACAGAACACGCCTGCGAGGTTATATCACTTTGGAGTATCTTAACCCACCATCCGTTCCAGCAGATATGCCTGCAACTTAGCCCCGAGCAGAAAAAGATGTTGAAGTGTTGCTCTTTCCGTGACCTCTTCCTGACCCGGTCAGAGGTGTGCGCATTTTTGATTATTTCTTTAATAAATCTATACCTCAAGGACAAGGCGGGTGTGAGCGACGTATCAGCCAAATTGCGCGACAAATGCCCCAATCTCTATAGACACGAAGACGCTGTGACGTCCAAGGCCACCGAGCTTCTAATGACCGCTAAGAATTCCACTTCCCGAAGCGAAAAGGAGCAATGCTTGCGCACCACTCTGCACATATGCAAGGAAGCTGCTCCAACTCTTCCACTGCACAGTATTTGTCAACAATTTATTTCCGCGGACTTCTTTGAAGGGGTTGTCGAACTTACAGCCGTATGTGCAGCCAAAAGCGACCCCGAAGAAGTGGGTATACACTTCTATAATAACGGCGAGCCCACAGAGGATCGCGAGGGCTACACTTGCTATGCCACAAGGTGAGTTTAAACCTCTTACTAGTTGAAACCCTTAAAATTAAAATACCATTATTTTTTGCAGAATGAATTACTATAAAGAAGTCCAAATGATGCTGGACCATGTGTACCAAACATCTTGCAATAAAAAAACTATGCAGGAACAAGCGCAATCTCACATTCAACCCAAAAGTGTTCCATCTACAAAGAGTTCTACGAAGCAAACGATCCAAAAAATTGTGTCACAAACTCTTCAAATCAAAGACCCTTTAATACATGTCACCCTATACGAATGGCTTCTGGCCCACGAAATGTTGAGTGAACTATTGGAAGTTGTGGAGCCATCGCTGGGCGAGTTCCTGCGACGCAGCGTATCGAGAAACGCGGAGAATGTCATTCTCATTGATTTACTGTGGAAATATTACGAAAAGAACGGGCATCATGCCCAGGCCGCTCAGATTCTGGATAACTTGGCAATGACTAGGAGCGAGAATATAACACTGGAACAGCGAATCGAGTACTTGGTGCGGGCAGTAATGTGTATGCGAAATGGAAACGTTGGTTCTTCAATAACTAATGGAATCTTTCTCAAGGAACTGGAAGATAAGGTAAGTCACTCGTCTAACCTGAAGAAAGTCTTTTTATTGATCTATAAATTATTATACAGCTGGACATTGCACGAGTCCAAAAAGGTGTGCTGGCGGATATGAGAGCACTGGCCAGTAGAAATATCGAAGCCGCCTCAGCCGTTAAGGAGTTAAACTTTGCTCTGTACGATATCACACAATTATATCAGCATTTTGCGGAACCCTTCAATCTATGGGAATGCCAATTGTCTATATTGAACTGCTCCCATCACAATGATCCACTGCTGATTGAGTCAGTATGGGGTAATATAATAAATAGCATTGTAGAAGAGCCGGGAACAACGCATGAACGGAGTGTCAGATTGTTCACAAAGATGGAGCTTTTAGTGCGCGAATATGGAGAGTCGGGAGCTTGTTTCCCATTTGCTTTCCTTATCAGGGAGCTTGAAATTAAAGCCTGCCAACTGAAATTACCCGAAGGAATAGTGCCAGAGAAACTGGTGACAATGAATCTAGATGTTGAGCTACTTCTAGAATACTATTCAAGGTATTTAAAAATATATTTTGCTTTGGAAGTTTGATCTTTAATCTCTTAAATACTCTTTCAGAATGATATCCATGAACGAGCGAGTGTGGGCCAACGAGGGTAACGAATGGCATTTGATTCAATCCGCCATTCGGGTGGTCTCCCTTCTAGCAGACAACGCACAAACTATTTGGTACCGATCCAAGTAAGTTAAAGAAATCAGGATATGTTTAAAGACCGTTCTAGCTAATATGTGAATGTGTTTTTCAGAAGAAGGATTATTGGCAAGGCCCAGGATATTGTGGCGGGCTGCTTAAATATTTGTTACCAAAAGCCCGACACCAATCGTCTGCAGCACTCTCTCAAGGAACTTCAAAGTCGACTGCAGCGGCTATTAATTTAAACTTTAGAGCGCCCCTTTTTTTTGTCTTAAAGTGCATAATATGATTGAATTGAAAAAACTTGGATTAGATGTTAAGTTTGACTGAGATATATGTGTTTGTATTAAAGGTGTTAAAATAAAATGATTTCCTATATAACCTTATTTGTCCCATAATGCTCAGCACTCACGAGGTGTCCATCATTTTAAGGTGGGCTTCCGTCAAGATGCATTTGGTCATGTGGCAGGGGCATGGCACTGGATGTTCCTCGATCTGCGGATCAAGTTGGTCCACCTCCAAGTTGTATTTCCGTGCATCGTCCCCACTACGCCTCATACAGATTTTGAATGCAACCGGCTCTCGTTCCTCCATATTTTCGCAGATCTCCTCGGGCAGCACCAGTACAACCTGTTTCCAGTGCGTCAACGGAGCGTCTGGCGCTGTGCTAAGCACAACAGAGTTGTCGCCTGGAAAACGCACCTCAAACCAAATACAGAACCCTTGATGGTTTCCGCTTTTCTGAAGAGCCACCACATCCTTGAACTCAATGCAGTCCAGCTCGTTAACAGTCACGTCCAGCAGATTCATCCAGTGGAAAACTACGCCCTCGTGAAGCAGATCTTTCGGTTCCACCGGCAGTACCGAAGGTTTTGATGACTTTTGTGCTCTTAATTTACTGGCAAAAGTGGTCATTTTGATGCCATCCACATCGTTCCAATCATCATAGAGAGCCGGCACGGAGCATGGAGCCACGAAGATGGTGCATTCACTGGGAAAGAGAAGTCCATCCTCCTTTAGAAACTGGTCCCTTGCATACAAAACAGAGTCCAGCATGCCCTCATGCAGCAGATAGAAGCCCATCCATTCGGATACAATGATGTCCACCTTCTCAGCATTGGATGGTAGCACAAATTCCTCTACTCGGGAGTTAATAACCTTGACAATATCTGTTAAGCCATTATCCTCGATCAGATCCAGGGCTACTTTGGTGGCCACATTGGAAGCCTCTATGGCGTAGACCAGACGAGCTCCAGCTTTGGCACAAAACGCAGACAGGATACCTGTGCCGGCGCCCACGTCCATTACGATCTTGTCCTTAAAAAGTTCTTTATTGCCCAGAATAGCTTCAAAGTAGGCGGCTTGCCGGGGACGATCCCTCAGCATTAGCTCATGGATCTAAAATTATGTTTATTTTCAATTACTTCTGATTACTCCAATTATTTTTCCAAAAAGCTCACCTCCAAGTTTTCATATTCTGTGAAATAGGTATTTGTCGCCATGTCTGCCCAGGTTACAGGACCTTATCAGAACAGGTAAATATTTCAAAACAACGTGCTGAGTTTTTTATGCACGTTTAAAAATGATGTTGCCAGACTGTTCGCTTAGACCACAAAAAAATTAAATTTAATAAATTAAAATATAAAATAATATTATTTTTTATAATTCTTTAGTGTTTTATGTATAAAATGGTTTATTTAAAAGGCAAAAATAGATTATAAATTATTTAAAATATTTAATCCTTTTTATAACAGCACTTTTCAACACTACCCGAGCAGCTGTTTTCAGCGCTGACCAGCACAGCTTCAAGTATTTTGCTGAAAATTCTGACAACAAAAAATGCAATATATAAAAAAGGGCTAAAGAAGTCGCCTGAAATGGTAATAAACTTTTTCAACTAATAAGCACCCGGCAGAGGCATGTCCAGGAAAATGCTCAAGATGTGGATTCTGCAGAGACCCGTGCACTGGGTGCTTTTGATCGCTCTGTGTGTTCTTACATGCGGTGGATATTGGTTGATCTGGTCGGAGATTCGCCTGGAACATGGTATACCCCATGAATATCATACTTTTATCGTTAATCCTAACTTAATTCCCTTTTTAGCGCTAAAGCCACTGTCCAAGCTGACTGCTGGGGGCCGCGCCCTGGCTCAATCGCTGGTCCCTGATCCACGCGGCTCGTCCGCGGATGATTTTGACTTTGAGGAGCAACTGGTGGTGCTGTACAATCGTGTACCAAAGACGGGATCCACCAGCTTCGTCAATATCGCGTACGATCTGTGCAAGCCAAACAAGTACCATGTACTGCATATCAACGTGACTGCCAATATGCATGTCCTGTCTCTGCCCAACCAAATTCAATTTGTTCGGAATGTTTCCAAGTGGCATGAAATGAAGCCAGCTCTTTACCATGGTCACATGGCTTATCTGGACTTTTCCAAGTATGTGCTTCTAGTTTAAATACCTTACAATGTATTAAATATTTTCTCTTCCAGGTTTCAAGTCGCTCACAAGCCCATATATATTAACCTAGTTCGTAAGCCTCTGGATAGACTTGTATCCTACTATTACTTCCTACGCTTCGGCGACAACTATCGACCGAATTTAGTACGCAAGAAGGCTGGCAATAAAATAGTAAGCACATATCTAAACACCTTGGTATCTGAGGAATATATATTTTACTTCATTTTCAGACCTTCGATGAGTGCGTGGTGCAAAAGCAACCCGACTGTGATCCAAAGAATATGTGGCTGCAAATACCCTTCTTTTGTGGCCATGCTGCCGAGTGCTGGGAACCCGGCAGCGCTTGGGCTTTGGACCAGGCCAAGCGGAATCTGGTCAACGAATATTTTCTAGTCGGAGTCACCGAGCAGATGTACGAGTTTGTGGATCTACTCGAAAGATCACTGCCCAGAATATTTCACGGCTTTCGCGAGCACTATCAAAATTCAAATAAATCTCATTTGCGCGTGACGTCATCGAAGTTGCCGCCAAGCGAGTCAACCATAAAGGCGATTGAAAAGACAAAGATCTGGCAGATGGAAAACGATCTGTATGAGTTTGCGTTGGCCCAGTTTGAGTTCAACAAAAAAAAGCTTATGCAGCCAGACAACAAGCACTTGCAAAAGTTTATGTACGAAAAGATTCGGCCAAAATGATTGACAAGGCACAAACGAAGTCGCAGAAACCGAACTATGATGACTTCACTTTCTTAGAGATCTGACAGCTGGCAGCGCAGGATTTTTGCATTGTAAATACGTAACCACCACAGTTTGAGTTTGAATTCTACCTAATTCAAATTCATAAGTGAACCTAAAGACTTTAGCATTGAATATCGTTGGCATATTAATCAATCTTTTGTATGTAGTCTAAGCATTACCCTTGTATAACATCCAAAAAGGCTTTCTAGTTGAATGTAAGCAATATCTAGCAACAATTGTCTGCACAATATCTCTTGATTTAGTCAAATCTATGTTTTATACTCGACAATACAATGCAATGATGAATGAAGAGATACATTTTTGTAGAATCTGTAAGTGTAAGTTTATGAATATCGGATGTAGATCTAATATAGATCGATTCTCATTAAATGTAAATGACACACAACTATATGATAACGATCTATGTGAATCTTGACATTTAAATTAAATGCATGTAAATAGTTGATAATTGATTTTATATTTGCCCCGTTGTGCGTATCAACAGCTGTTGATGGGGATTGCGTGTTTGCAAATTGATTTATTCTGTCGTTGGATTACTTTTAACTTTCAGCAAGCTGTACTTTGTCTAAACTAATTGCAATTGGCTGGCTGTCGAAATTCCGGCGGACCTTAAAAGCTGACGTAGCTCCATGGGCGAAGGTGACTGACTGACGGATCGACTGGCTGACGGCTAGACGGTCCGACACGGAGAATGGGCTCAAGCAAGTGCAAGAAAATAAAATTGTAATACATTTGTGAAACGGAAAGCAGCTTAATTAATTGCTCGCGCTTGAAACTAAAAGCAAATGAGCTTGCATTACCCATCGCCCGTCAGTTGATCACTTGATCGTGGATCGCGGACACGCAACTCGAAAGTAGCTATACTACCAGCCACACGGCTTAGATCTTAAGCTTAGACCAATCCCGCGCTGCCGTTAAAAGTGTGATAACCGAAGTATTAACAACCCGTGCGGGAAAAGCTTTATAACACGTTTGTTACTCAGCCGCCGAGGCGATTAGTCTTTGAACTACTTGTCTAAGGAGCGTTCAAAAGTTCAAGACTCATTACGTCCAAGTCGCGTTTAGTTACATAAAAGGTAACTAGCAGAAGCTTAATCGTGGTACACTGCGCCAAAAAGTTAAAGTTTCACGATGTTTTTTATTGGAAAAGATACTCAAACAATGAGATAAAAAGTTTATTAAAAAAATATAATTTCAAAAATCAAGTGTTTATATTATTTTTAAATAAAACCCATAAATCGAGTATCAAGTGAATTAAAAGTGCTATAAAGAACAAATCTGATAACTTTTAAAGACCGATTGTGAAGTTACTTAAATATCACATTTAATAATGTTAATTGCTGTATAGAAAAGATTAAGTCGCTTACACAGGAAGAAATTATTCCCCCATTTCAATGTGAAACTGTTAAACATTTTATGGAAAAACTCCATTGACTTTTGAACTTGACTTTGGCAAAGAAACCCCCAAAAACTAAAAATCTCCATAGCTTATTCGCAACGTGCTGTTTTATGCTTTTTTTTTTTAGGTCTCGACTCTGACCACTTATAATGACCTATTAAATCGTGTTGGCCTTATAAACCCGACTATTCTGGTTGACGTACATTTCTTGATAACTTTGTTATATATGTACTGACCGTCGCACATTAAAAGGGGCGGGTATAAAATGAATTGACAAGTGGCTTTATATTTCCAGTCCATAATCGCGATTCAAGCTCACTAGATCAGAGCCAGAAGAACTAACTGAAAGGCTACATACCTTAAAAAAGGTATATTCTTGGATTAGCTGACTTTTAATTATACGGTAAGTTTTAGTTTCGACCTTAAGACGTGTTTTGTTTTGTTCTTTATCTGAATAATTAAATATTCAATGTTTGATAGTATTTTTCTTAAATTTTGACACATACTTATAAACAAGATATTTTGAAAAGGAGTGGTTGAAAAAAAGTTTTTTAAGAGTATATTGTCAAGACTATATATATCAAAAAACAGTGTTTCATTTAAAGAGAGCCTCCTGTATATTATAAAGCTCATCACTGATTGAGTGTTTTTTCGCTATACCTTTTCCTCATCAATTTTGCGAGAATTCCTTTTTACACGCGTGGTTTTTTTTGTTCGTTTGAGAACTGAAATATAATGTAAAGTTCAGCAGCACATCGGCATTGACCCATTTAATGTCTGTTGTTCGATCCAATACTCCTGGCTTGAACAATTTAACAAAAAAAAAATCAATTATTTGCATTAGCATTTGCATTATTTATTTTCGTTAAAACCGCGTGTTCAGTGTGTAATTGTGTGGCATTTTATTGTTTATTCAATTTGCAACGTCATGACAATGTTGACCGCTGCAGCTGCCATGCACTGCCTGCCCAAATCGGCGGTGGCAGAGGCCCCCGCCTTTCGGGCCAAAGCCCCCTTCTCGGGTAAGATACAGTGAAAACTAGCTGAATAGACAATTATTTGTGGAGAAAAAACTAACAACATGGCAAAAATATCATTTACTTTTATAATCAATTGCTTTTGTTTAAGTAATTTTATCGCCAATATGAAAATTTTGATTATATTGCAACCTTATACAGATGCAATATTGCAATAGGGCGTGTGTTTCAAAAGTTTCCATGTAAAAGTAAAGTCGTGGCAAGAATATTAGTTTACGTTTACTTTAATATGATTTTTAAAGATTTTCTTTAACATTTAATGTATTGGTACCTTGCTGAATTTATCACAATATAAATATCATCCTTTGGTGATCCTTTTTAAAGGGCATTTCCCTTTACCAAGGTACACCTCTTTATTGTTCGAAAAAATTGTGCATACTCATTATAGGATGATTACTTTTGAATGTAATGTTTTTTTTTTGCAGAGTAAGGTCAAAGTACTTGGTGCCTTGGGGTTGCCCTTGCCATTGTCCGATTTCTTAAAAAAACAAGTTTCTCATGTGGGATTTTTTTGTACAGTTTTAAACCGAAGGGCGAAAGTTGACATTACAATGGATCTTAAACTCCAGAATTTCCCAAAACCCTCAAGCTTACCAGATAAAGTCCATAGCTTTTAACTTGAAAGTCGTACTTTTTTTGTAGCCATTAGCTTTTGTTAGCTATCATATTAAAAATTAAAAATAGACCGTTCGTGAAAAAGGCCAAAACGAAAACGAGAGTATAACGAAGCGTAAACCATGAATGGCCGAAGTCTGGGCACGTGCGATCGTGCGTTTGAAACGATTTGGCCAAAATCGGGCGTCGAAAATCATCAGTCCACAACTGACAGGGTGCTGGTCTTGCAAAAGTGTTAATTGTACAAAATATTCGACACGTACTGATGGGGTTAGAAAAATAGCAACCATTATACATATATTCCAAATATGAAGTAATTAACTAGATTTAACACTAAACCTTAAAGTTTACAAAGTTTTTACGGTCTATTTGAGATAGTTCTCCATTAGGTTTAGTTTGTAGTTTGTGATAAAGTATAGAATGATTCTTTCGGGGAATATTTCAATATCTTTATTTAAATGTTAAATACATTGTACAGAGCATTAACAGCAAATTAAATACAATTAATAACCTATTTATTTAACCCCATGTGTGAGTTTATCGAACAGGTGTAAGCACTAATTGGCGGAGAGCGAGGCAGCTCTAAAACCGGATAGCCAAGTGTATGGCACAGAGTTTCAGGGTCAGTGTAGGAAATGACTACCGCCGACCAAGGGATTTTCAACGCCCTGTGCTCTGTGCAATTACACTCGAAGAAAACCCGAATAAATTAGGTGAACTGCGACTCGCCCAACAGCCGCTGTTGGCTGAGAAAATGTTTAAGCTGAAAGCGAAACTGAAACCGGCTTGGAGTTCGGAGTGGCATCATTTCCCAATGATGATGCACCCAGATTTAAGCTCGCTCTCCCTCCAAGCGGAATGGATAACTCTCTGCCCTCCAGTTGGTGGCTCTCTGGGCTTCGTACACGTGAATGTCATGCTCAAGTTCAAATTTTATCAGTGATGCCAAGTTATTGGATTTGAATATTTTCCGGTTAAAAACAAGGTTTTTTTAAGAAATTTTTGGTGCTATGTTTGGAGGAATATGTATAATTGAAATTTATGTTTAAAGATTTCTTAAAAATATTAAATGTCTGGGGATTAAACGTTTGTCTGATATTAAGCTTAAACTAAATTACGTACCTAATCTTTTTACGAAATTTTAATTCTACCCATCATTTAATTGTCATGAAATCTAAAAAAAAAAAATATATATATATTTAAATTTTAAAATCAAAAGCTGACAAGAATTTCAAATCCGGATCTATAATTTCAAAATAAACCAAAAAACGCACTGTAAGTTTGCTGAAAATTAGCTGATCAGACAGATCTGAACCTAAAGCACATATGTTTTTGTCTCGCAATCTTTTGACGCTCTCATCGCAAATCCAGTTTCGATTCTTGGCCTGGCATAAAATCTCCGCGGCGCGCTTTTGGCCGCAACAGTTTCATCTTGGCTTTTGACGCGTCGCGTTACCTGGTTACCTGGTTGCTTACCCCAGTCCCATCTGGCGGATTACTGTTAGCCATCATCGGCACAAAACAAGTTTCCGTTGGTGTTGTGCTTTTAGCGTACTATTTAAGCGATTTGATTATATTTTGTATTTTCCCAGCCAACTGCTTGGCCAAAAACATTTACAATTCATAAATGTCGAGTGTGTGTCACTTATGAATGCCAAAAATATGCGGCTATTTTTTTTTAGCATATCACCTGGCCCATCTAACCACCATCCATGTGGGTAGACTTTGTAGAAATTTTCAATGTCAACCTTTTGTTGCTAATTTTAAAAACTTTTGTAGTTTTAATAGCTCTTAAACTGCGCAACAAGATGGAAAATTTAAAACTCTAATTTCTGAATGGGAAACTTTGGATGCTAATTTCTGATTTTCTAAGCGACGGGTTTTCTCAATTAAAACTTGTTCTAGAGTCGAGACTATAATTAAGTTCAAGTAGAACTTGTCAACGCAGTCTAGATAGAGAATTCAGTTCAAGGGGTTTTTATTTATCACCTGTCAATGGAGGAGTCACTGCAAGAACTGCATAAACCAAGATCATCGGTAGCTTCAAAGGTGATTTCCGATTTTGGCAAATCTTTTGGTTCATCTTCCGTTATAAGTTGCGAATGTCAAGGTGAAGGTTGGCCAGGTGATCGATAGTTATTCAATGCAGTTTCCCCCTCACTGCCCCTTTGAGCCGGTTCAGAGTCACTTGCCTCATTAATAAATTTAAATTTTCTACCCTCTTACATATAAATAGCGTGCACAATTTATCATTAGACAAACTGAAACTTAAGATCGCGACCCGCTTTGAGCAAATATAATAAAAAAACAAAAAAAAATTAAAGATCAAACAAATTGAAAAATAATTTTAGTAGCTGAACGGAGCAACAACAATTGCAAAATGAGTAAGTGATTGTTAAGTGCAGCAGCCGTCATTATATGGCCAACTAATTGGCAATTGTTGTCGGATTGCTTAGGCATTTTAGTTGGCCAAAGTTCCATGTAAACATGGGACGTTAAAAAAAGATGATAATAACCTGCCCGGGCTTTGGCTCAAAGTACAGAAGCTGATCTGCTAATTGAATATTAATGTCTGCCCTTTCAGGAGTGCCAACGATGTTGTCGGATATCGATCAGCTGCCCCAGATCCAGATGGGCGAGTTCATCCTCCAGTTCGAGCTGGGTGAGCCCACGGCCCATGGCAAGGAGGTGGCCATAAAGGAGCTGCGGGAAACCCCAGAGCGTCAAAAGGAAGCCACCAAGGAGCTAGCAAGGCTTTTGGAGGGTAAGCTATAAACTATATAGTATTATTTTTAGTAAGAAGATTAATTTTTTATAACTCAATACATTTCTTTATTAGTCATCTGAGATCTCTCATAGATAATTAATTCATAAGAATTAAAATAAAATTCCAAGCACATAGTTAAGGGCTTTTCCATTTTTTATTGAAGCAATTAAAAAATAATTATTAAAACTTAATCAAGTTATTAGAAAGAATTACATTTTATTTTTAGAATATTTTATAAAAGATATAGCTACTTAAATCTTTAAAAATGACATTGCCAAGTCTATGCTAAGTACTTATTGAATATCTATTTTTAAACCATATATAATTCGATCTGGCTGTGTGGTAATTCCGTGTCACTAATCACGGGTTGAGGTTAAATGTGGCATGCCCTCGATAAGATTATATGGTATCTACGATTGAACTGCATAACATTCGCTTTGTAATTGCATCTGTAGAACATGATTAGTTTAATAGCAGGGAATTTAAAAGTAAATTGTTAGTTCCGTATTGACGTATTTTTATTTTTTTTTAAACTCTATTTTTAGCGGAGACTGATTTGCATTATCCAAAGGATAACGAGGAATGGCTGATCCGATTCCTGCGTCCCTGCAAGTATTACCCGGAGAGTGCTCGTGATTTGGTAGGTGTTACTATAAAATCTTTATGAAACAGGCATTAATATGATCCTTTTACAGATCAAAAGGTACTACTCCTTCAAGGTGAAGCACTCGGATGTGTACAACAATCTGAAACCATCTGGTGAGATGAACATTTTCAATCACAACATTCTTACTGTTTTTCCCAATCGCGATCAATTGGGTCGTCGCATTTTGGTCCTGGAACTTGGAAGTAAGTTTTTTGTAATTTTTAATTAGATTAAAAAAGAAATAGGCATTAATTATGTATATTTAAATTTTTTAGAGCGCTGGAAGCACAAGCAGGTCACCCTGGACGAGGTGTTCAAGGGAGCTGTGATCTTCCTGGAGGCTGCCATGCTTGAGCCGGAGACTCAGATCTGCGGAGCAGTCGTCATCTTCGACATGGATGGCCTTAGTCTGCAGCAGACATGGCAGTTCACACCGCCGTTTGCCAAGCGTATCGTGGACTGGCTCCAGGACTCTGTCCCCCTCAGGATAAAGGCTATCCACATTGTCAACCAGCCGAAGATCTTCAATGTGGTGTTCGCCCTGTTCAAGCCCTTCTTGCGGGAGAAACTGAGGAGCAGGATCATCTTCCATGGCACCGATCGCGAGTCCTTGCACAAACACATGTCGCCCAAGTGCCTGCCGGCCGCCTATGGCGGAATCCTCGAATCCAACCGGATCGACAGTGACCAGTGGTATCAATTGCTTCTCAAATGCGATCCCGAATTCGATGCCATCAACTCGTATGGCTACAAGAAGAAGTGATAGGGCTTGCGGCGACATCAAGTGATAGGGAATCCCCAATTTCCATTACCAAACATATCTGTGCGGCACGCATGCGCACTTTATTGTTAAGCACCCGATCTGTTATACGCTTGTCCTGTTAGAGAATAGCGCCTAGAGTTTGCCGTAGTCATAGATCCTTCGAAGCTTCGATCGAACCCAGCAAAAGTGTTACACATACTTATTACTTATTAAAGTTAATCCGGGGTAAGCGTATTTATATCATACTCTACTTTTATACAAATTGTTGAAATATATAAACACGAAATTTATCCATGATGTGTGTTTTTTTTTCTTTTCAGTTTGTAAGAGTTAGTATTGTTAGTTTTGACTCAACTTTCTTTTTATTTTCCATATAATTTGGCAATAGTACATATAATATATAAAAAAAAGTTAAACATGGTTTAACTTGTACAGTTGTTAAGACATTTGTGCTCGTGATTTTATGTATATTTTTGAAAGCCTTTTTTTAATGGCGTGAAGTAACTTTTTGGCTACAAAGGCACACTGAGATTTTATGTGGGGTTTTTTGTTAGTATTATTTAAAAAAGCCTTATTTTAAAAAAGCAAAAAGAAAAGTTTAAGAATTAATATTGACCATTATTGGTAAATAATTGATTCTAGCAAAGCTTACAACTGTTTTTCATTAAAATTCTTCAAAAATGAATCTCCAAAAATGACTAAATTTCTTAACAAGGTACTCTTAGTTTCAACTAATTTTCCCTTTATAGTAAAACTAATGTCTTTCATTAACATCTTTGCTATTTCATTTGATTATTTCATATCAAAAGCTAGCTTTTATTTCATATAACAAAATAATATTATTTTTTTCGTTGCTTTGCAAACAAAAAGTGTCTTAAAGCTATGTTGTACAGTATAAGAAAAATTTCATTCAGGTCCAATTTTTATCTTTACAAAAATCGTTCCTCTAACATTAGAATATATATCTTCGGTATAGATTTAAATGTTAACCACATCGATTGTTTAGATTTTGGTCTGGAACGCCTCTCGAGTCTGGAATGCATTGAAAAGGTCATCCTGGAGGCCAGGCCCCGGCAAGTGGTTAAATTAAGCGTAAATTCCCGGACAACTCCCGTCAGTCTGCTCATAGACGATAATTGGTCTTTGGCGCCTTTGCATTATTGCGTTTCTGTCCGAACATTTTCTTTCCCGGGCTGCGCATGGCGGCGTCATCCACATCCGCATTGGTGTCCGCGGTCTCGCCACCCCCCGTGCAACAGATGCGGCGCTGGGCGAGGCGAATGGGGCGGGTAAGGTCGATAGTGTCGCCCTGCTGTCGGAGCTCTGACTCCGCCACGCACTCCATGTGCCGCCATTGGCGGAGGCCAAGGGTGAAGGCCTCTGTCACGTTGTTGGCGGCCTTGGACGAGGTCTCGATGTGGGAGGCAATCTTCTGCTCGGCGCACCACTGCTGGACCCCCTCGTAGTTGACCTGTCGCTTTGCCAGAGGAAGGTCGTTCTGCAGAGTTACATATATTATTTAATATTTGTATAATAAATTATCTGTATACCTTACCTTATTTCCCACCACAATAAATGGAAACTTGTCAGCGTCCACGTCGGCATACATGAGGAATTCCTTCCGCCACAGATCCAATCCTCTCAAGCTGTCTCGGTCATCGAGGGCATAGCAAAGCAGGCAGATATCTGATCCCCGGTAGAACGGTGTTCGCAGGGCTCTGAATCGTTCCTGGCCTGCCGTATCCCATATCTATTTCAAAGAAAAATTCAATAAAACAAATGCAATTAAGTTTAATTGAATGGCTAATTCAATTAGCAATATATTTGAATTTGAATTTGCCGCTAAAGCGAATCAAAACTTTTGTTAAAAGTGAGAAAAATGGTGGGCTACAAAAAAAAAAAGAGGGGAACCTGATTCATCTAGATCACGGCACACATTTTTGAGCTTAAAGTAAATATTTAGTCTAGAGGGTAGTCAGTGACTATAACTGATAACAATGTGTGGCCGATAAGCAAATAAGTCAAACAGAAAAATGTTTAAAGTAAACTAGAGACCTAGAAAGAAATAGGGCTTTAAGAGCTATGATTATTTTTTAGGTATTTTGTTTAAATCCTAATAGAAATCAAAGCTTACAGAGAGGATATATTATAACCTAGAACTACATTTATAATTTGATTTGTTTAAAATGTGGGTGCTTCCATGGCAACATGAAAAACTATACACCACAAGTTGGGGGTATTTTATTTACATATGTACGAAAATATATTATATTTGTGTGTATATCCCCGACACGGGGAGATTCCCTATTTCGCGAGTTCTTCTCCCAACAAGCCAACCGTGAAAAGTGATTATGTCTTTTTGTCTCTCGACTGTGGGGAATGATGGTAATCTGCCGGTATGGGGGACTTCAAATTATGCGAAATACTCTGAGAATTAGTCATCAACAAAGCCGCATTCTTTACACTTTCTATAGGTAACATCGATTGCTTCAATTAGAATCATTATACCGATTTGCTGCCACCTTGGATGCACTCACTTTGCTTACTCATTCAAAACGCTCCTGCATATTCATTAGTTTTCCAAGCTTGGTCGACTGTGAAAAATATTTTGTTTTGATTTTCGAATAATCCGCCAAGACAGCCTGGCATCAGCAGGAATAATAAAGAATTAAGAATTCAGATGAGATTGAGACCAGAAACTGTGGCGGCGGATGAAACAAAGTTGAGGCTTTGTTTTCGAGTCCACAAAGTGTCATTATTTATAATTTTGTTTGTTGTAGTTTTTTGTTTTTTTCGCAAAAGCTCAACTGTACGTTAATTGAGTAGAAATTTGCTATGTACTGTATATGTGTGGGCATGGGGCAGATGGAAGAGATAGAATCATAAATATATAGGTACAGTGGTGTAGATAGTTTATAAGGGATTATACCAAGAATTGTTTTCAAAAGAGTTCCTAAAATATAGATTGTTTTGAGTCTAATAGTCAGTAATTTTAAGTCTTAGGTAGATAGAAATTTAATAGTTTATTTATGCTATTTTGTAATGCTCCAATAACCACTGTACTACGAATTGTAGAAAAGTAAAAACAAAGCTCAATCGTTGTTCACATTTGAAGTGTTTCGACATCAAGAAATTGCCGGTGGATGTGATCTTATTGAAGGGGAAATAATTGGATACAGAGGGGAAGTTGTAGACACGGCACGTAAAGGAAACACGCTTGGCTAGTCTCCTATCTTGACCAACTCTTAAGTTTTCTAAAGAAACATAAAATAAATAATGAAGTATTACCTGCAATGTGTAACGCTCTCCATCGACCTCTATATCCTTGTTCATAAACTCAACCCCGATGGTGTGGAAATTGTTTTCCTCGTAACGATTGGAAACGAAACGATTGAGGAGGGCCGACTTTCCCACCCCGCCGTCACCCAGTATGACGACCTTCAGCAGTTTGGATCTCTGCGGTGGGCGCATATTTGTCATGATGTGTGTTTGTTAAATAAACAATATTCCAACAATTAAGCCCGGCAACAGTGTGTCGATTTCTTCAGCAGTTTCTCAACTGCGCAACTAGAAACTACTTTTCGATTATTGGCTTAATTTCACCCACGACTTTACAATTTAGTGTAATGCACTTTTGTTTAATTACATTATGTACTATAGCCGGGCACTTTACAAAAGGAGCAATTAGTGGTTTTTGTATGAATAAATTTGAAATTAAAAAAAAACTATGAGCGTAACCGAAATCCGCGCCGCCGTTCAGGTCCAATTGGATGAGCAGTCAGCTGACAACTAACAGGGGCAGCTCGTTGGATAACAAGTGGTAGTGGCGCCGAACAGAGCTGTTAGCTTGTCTTCTTTTTGGATTTCCCAAAGCTCTGTTAGCCGCTTGGCGGGCAAATTCAAAAATAACATGGATTACTATTATAAATGTATAAAATATTTTTATATCTTCCTTGATTCAATCGTTTATAAATAAATTATAATAATCTCAGCCCTTGATGACCGCAATGGGTCGCATTTTTATGCACTTTTTGCTAATGCCCGCCGCATGGCAGGTGTCCACCACATCGGTCACGTCCTTGTACGACTCGGGGGCCTCCTCCATGACTAACTTGGGTGAGGCCACGCGAATGGCAATACCGATCTGGTCCAGCTTATCGAGCACCTCTTTGTAGTCGATATTTCGGCGAGATTTGGCACGGGACAGAGCACGACCCTATGGATAGAAAGATTATATTAGAAATATATAATATACAGCTTTTTTCAAAGAACTCACCGCTCCATGGCAGGTGCTGCCGAAAGTTTCCTGCATACCCTGCTCTGTACCAGTGAGGACATAACTGCAGGTGCCCATGGTTCCGCCCACTAGGACTGGCTGTCCCGTGAGCTGGTAGTCCACAGGGATAAGTGGGTGATGTGGGGGAAAGGCGCGAGTGGAGCCTTTACGGTGGACCAGCAACTTGCGCTCCTTTCCATCGACGATGTGGTTCTCCACCTTGGCAATGTTATGTGAAACGTCGTAGATTACGTGCATGTCGAGATCATCCGGAGTGGTGTTGAACATTTTCGCGAAGGCCTGCCGCGTAAGGAAGGTCATGGAGCTGCGGTTGACCCAAGCAAAGTTGGCCGCCGCCGCCATGGCCTTGAGGTAGTCCTGACCCTCCACGGAGTTGATACGAGCGCAGGCCAGCTGTCGGTCATTCGTTTCAATCTTGTCCCGTTTCATGGCCTTCTCCATTTGCACCAGGGCATCAGTGGCCACCTGATGGCCGAAGCCACGGCTGCCCGAGTGAATCATCACCACCACCTGGCCCTTTTCCTCAATGCCCATCTTCGAGGCGCTCCACTTATCGTAGATCTCGTCCACCACCTGAATTTCCGCATAGTGATTACCCGCTCCCAACGTTCCCAACTGGGGAAGTCCTCGTTTCTTGGCCCGCATGCTAACCTTAGCAGGATCGGCGTTCAACATTCGTCCATATTCTTCGCAGTGCTCCTTGTCCTCTGCCCAGACGTAACCCTCGCGTAGCGACCAGTCCATGCCCATTTCCAGGGCCTCCTCCAGATCACGAGCATTCATCGGTATGATGCCCTTCGAGCCCACACCCACGGGAATGTGATCGAACAGCGACTGGGCCAGCTGCTCCTTTACCGGCTGCACATCCCGCTCATAAAGGTTGGTGCGGAGCAGACGAACACCGCAGTTGATGTCGAAGCCCACGCCACCGGGGCTAACCACGGACAGGGGGTCATTCATGTCAAAGGCTGCCATGTTCCCGATGGCGAATCCATAGCCAGAATGGATGTCCGGGAGACCTATGGAGCGTCCCACTATGCCGGGCAAGGCGGCCACATTGGCTATTTGCTTGACGCCGGGGAGAAAGCCACCGACTGCTCCTGGACGACACGAGTTCTTTAGCTCTTCCAGCATCAGGCGCTCCAGTCGGCTATTCACGTAGAAACATCCTTCCACATTCATGTTCGGCTGGAAGCCCTTCTTGATGCGCCAGCAGTGGTCGCTGATCTTCTCCAGGTACTTCAGCTCATCGTTATAGGGACGCACCACCATCGCACAGCTTTGGGGAATTACTTTTTCTGATTAATCTAGTCAGCTGCTATTTATAAGTATTTATTTCGCGATGAAATATGGTTTGTTGCATGCCGGCATGAAATTAGGGTTGTTGAAAATATAATTATATCGATATTTGTCGTATTTGAAACGGTTTGTGTCTTTGCTACATACATTTCAAACGGTCATACTTTAATTTGAACAAATTAAAATTTAAAAAAAAATTTAAAAAATATTTTCTTTCAGGATTTTGATGCAGAATGGTGGAGAATCGATCCAGAAATCGTTTAAGGTACTCCGCTTGAGAATCGGATCAGGATTGGGGAAGATATAGCCATCCCTGTGGGCCATGTAGGGGAAAACCCCATTTTCAAGGCATCCCAGCATGGAAAATGGACAAAAAATTTAAAAAATATTTTGTCTCAGGATTTTGATGCAGAATGGTGGAGAATCGATTCAGAAATCGTTTGAGGTACTCCGCTTGAGAATCGGATCAGGATTGGGGAAGATATAGCCATCCCTGTGGGCCATATGGGGAAAACCACATTTTCAAGGGATCCCATCATGAAAAATGGACAAGAAATCTAAAAAATATTTTGTCTCAGGATTTTGATGCAGAATGGTGGAGAATCGATTCAGAAATCGTTTGAGGTACTCCGCTTGAGAATCGGATCAGGATTGGGGAAGATATAGCCATCCCTGTGGGCCATATAGGGGAAAACCCCATTTTCAAGGGATCCATCATGAAAAATGGACAAAAAATCTAAAAAATATTTTGTCTCAGGATTTTGATGCAGAATGGTGGAGAATCGATCCAGAAATCGTTTAAGGTACTCCGCTTGAGAATCGGATCAGGATTGGGGAAGATATAGCCATCCCTGTGGGCCATATAGGGGAAAACCCCATTTTCAAGGGATCCATCATGAAAAATGGACAAAAAATCTGAAAAATATTTTGTCTCAGGATTTTGATGCAGAATGGTGGAGAATCAATCCAGAAATCGTTTAAGGTACCCCGCTTGAGAATCGGATCAGGATTGGTGAAGATATAACTATCACTGTGAGCCATAGAGGAGACTGCCATATAAATGAATTATCGGAAATAACCCTTTTTTCGTGTTTTTGAAGATAGTCCACCTGAAGTTAGCTTTCTTTATTGTTTTTAAATATTTTTTATTAAAATAGACAGCATGTTTAGAATAATAATTTTAATAGATTTTAGAAGCTATTAAAAATCGTACAATTTCTTATTTCCAGACAACAAAAGTTATTGTTTCTGGCTTTTCAGCTTCGCAGATATATTTAAACAAGCTCTTGTCATGGCCACTGCAAGGACGATCGTTCAGCTGAATTTCCGTAGAACTCTCATATATATACCCTAAATGTATACAATGTTCTTTTCCTCCAGCATTATCCGGTTGCTTGGGAGCCCACCGATTGATATTGATCGGCTGGGCATTGGTGAACCAATTGTGGGTTCCTGTTTTTCCCAAATCATTACCCGATGTCCAGTGTTCGGATCTTACTCCTTTGGACTTCAAATAGGCGGCAATGGCATCGAATTCCTCAGGAGTCTCGAAGGTCACCAGATCGGCTTCCATTTTACGGCATTTTTCATAGGCCACATACCAGTTTACTTGTTCCGCTCCAAAGAAATAGAAACCATCTCGAATCTTAACAAACGGGCTCAAGTCAATTGGAACTTGATTGGGATTTCCTAAAAATATAAATATATTTTAAAAATTTTTAAAATTTGTTTAAATAATTTCATTTACCGGTTATTATTTCTGCTGCATATTTATGTCCCCAGATTAGTTCAAAACTAAACAAAAAGAGCAGGAGTTTAACGAATATCTTCAACATTTTACGATTTTCTGACTAACAGTCGAAGATGTGGAAACTTATTTATACCCATTTTTTATCAGAAATTCTTGATAATTTTGCAATGAATGTTTGTTCGCAAAAATTAGCGCCCAAAATTAATAGATAAAATGGTTCTTTTGATAGCAATTATCAGGGAATTATTTCATGTTAAGTGAAAGGTGATTACTTGTTAGAAATTGAGTTTAATTGGGTTCTTTCTTAATCACGCAGATTTTTTTTATTTTGGTATAGAATATGTATACTTTACATACATTAATAAATACAAACTTTTCTATTATTTCCATACAACGATTGAAATTGTTTCTTGCTTAGGAGCCTCGCAGATATATCTCTTGTAATATTCACATCGACCATCGCTCATAAAATATTGATCTTTGGATGACATATAGACACATCGTTCTTTGTTTTGGTAATTGTCGGGTTGTCCTTGAGCCCATCCTTTAATTTTTATGGGCTTGGCATTGGAGAACCAATTGTGGACCCCGCTCTTACCCAGATCGTTGCCTGATGTCCAGTACATTACGGTGTTTCCTTTTAATACTTTTTTTTGCAAATGGGCCTGAATATCACAGTGCTCCTCTGGGGTCTCAAATGTCACCAGTTCGGATCCCAGTTTTCGGCAGATTTCATAGGCCATAAACCAGTTGGCTGTCTGAGTGCTAATGAAATAGTATCCATTACCGATCCTGACAAAAGGACTCGTGTTGATTGGAATATCGTTTGGGTTTCCTGCAAATACATTGTATAATTTTTTTTATCAGGTATTAATTTTATTTTGATTATAACAAACCATTCTTAAATTCGGTTGCAAATTTGTCATATGTTGAGCCCAGTTTAAAACTGATTAGGGCTAAAAGGAATCGAAATAGTTTCCGCAGCATTTGGACTTGGTTTGTGAAGATTTTCCGAATTTGTGGCTGCTTTTATACCCAAAATAGAAAATCAATTAAACTGCCTATCCCTTTTAGGTAGAACTTAAGACTTATTTTGGTTAATTTTTTAAATTACTGTAGATAATTTTATTTTCTTTGTTTATAGATGAACCTAGCTTTGTGTCTGAATTCCCAAAAGATAATTTACTTACTAAGCCTTGATCATCATTAACCACAGCTGCAACATTGACTAACATTTTTAGGTAATTAGAAAGCTACCCTATTTATTCTTTGTACTTACACCATTGTGCATGTTCAATTTTTATGAATGCCAAAAAAAAACGTTCCTTCTAATCTTATGGTTGATTTTTAATTACCATAATATCCTTGCGCAATCAGCAGGACCAAGACTTTCCAAGGCATCCGTTCAAGGTCTAGAAAAGTCTTGCCCTACTACATGTGGGGAATGCACTGAAATAGTCCACATTTGCAATTCAAAAAAGCGGTGACCACCCACACCAAATGCCAGAAATGAACACTAATGATTTTCATTTAATACCCACAAGAAAATGCATATAAGAAAAGGCAAAACGAGGCTATGGAAATCTCTTTTAGTTGGGAATGGCAGTCAATTAAATGGAAGTGGAATTACCTTGTCTACAATGGAATTTGAATAAAGACCTGGTAAAGAATGGCCATTTTAGGAGACTTTAAAAGAGAAAAGACCTTTTATAATTTAAAAAACATCATATTATACTTTAAAAGTGGTAAGTTATTAGCTTTTTAGTTGTTTTAAGAAAATGTTTAACTCTACAACAAATAAATTACCTAACATATGTCTGTTAAAATAAACACTGTTAGCTAACATTTAAGTGTTGGTAAATATCGACAAGGCGCCAAGAATTTAAATTTAAGCTTAGTGCATTGGCGAGCAATAAATAATGGTTCGACCATTCTATAGACATGTGTAGGATCCCAGGAAAAGAAAACTACTCTCCAAAGACTCCTATAGAAGGCATTCCTTGCATTTGTGTGCATATGTGAGTGTACTCCCAGTGGAGTAATTTCAACGTAGGGGACACGTGACTCCATTTCGAGTATGTTTTTGGCATCTTTACGACTTTTTGTCTGTTGGTTGTCACATTTTTTCTTGGGTTTTGTAGTCTTTGCGTGCCGACATTGTGTCGTGTGTGTTGAGTTTTCCATTTAGCCATTTGCCTTTGTTGCCTTTTTTCGGTTTCGTGCTAAAAAGAGAAATTTTTTGTTGTTTTTTTGCGAAATTAAATCTAATTTGATGTGCAAATGTGTTGTGTCGGCATTGGCGCTTTGTTATTAGCTGCATTCTGGCACGTTTGCAGCTCTACACAAACTCCTACTTGAATTGGAAACTGGAATAGTACAGTGGTAATTGGCTGAGTACATAAAAATCAAAATAAGTCATGGATATTTATACAATTAATAAAACCTTTTTGCTTTGAATACTTATAAGTTAAAACATTGGCTAAAACTTATTATCTTGGCTTGGCTTTACTGTACTTTCTCCACTGAATTAGCAGTTAACGAGTAAAATAGCTTACTTGCTTTTTTTTTTGGTTTAATCCCCTTTCTATCTCCCCCCCTTTGTGGTTTTTCTCTTTTTCCCTTACTGCGGTTAGCATTCTCGCAAAGGGGCCAGGAAAACGCCAACGTGTGATAAGCCAAAGTGGCGAAATTGTTGTGGAAATGGCTAAAAAGAAGGGCCTGAAGTCTGAGAAGTGGTAGGAGGAGTCTGCTGCCGATTGGCACTTGCAATTAAGCGTTTGGCTTTTAATGTCATTGCTTGACAAGAGAATTCCACAATTAACTTATCGAAAATGCAACTGAGACAGGATCCGAGCTGTCACGTCACCTTTTCAAGGATAGACTCTTATTTAAAATTCTTAGTTGAAATAAAAGTATTTTTTAAGATATTAAATAAAGCATTTAAAACAAATATTCGAAACTAAGAGTCGAGAAAAAGTCACCATTTAAAACTCATAGCACAAATTCCATAAAAATATCAAAAATAGTATGGAATTCCAAACACGCCTTTTAATCTCATCCAAAAATATGTTTGCATTGCTATAATTTCAGACCATAACTGGTTTCAGCCATCATGCGAACAAAAATCATGGCAACCACTAATCATTTCTGTGGTCAGTGCAATGTCAGCCACTGCCAGGTCCATTCATCAGGTGGGTGGGTCAGTAAGCCTGTGAAACACACGTAAAACCACTTGGCAGCACCACATTTCCCAACGTGCCTTGTGTGCCTCACCTGCGACTGCCACTCGTATTCGGGAAGCTGCCACAATTGAAATCCAAAGCCGAAAACTGTCCCGCAAAAGCCTGTCAAATTATGAAAATGGAATATATAGTCGGGTGTGCCTGACACTTTAAATGAAATTTGAAAAGCAATCAACAATACCCCTGCCATCCCAGCAGCCCCTTTCTGCTCGTTGCCCTAATTGCTCAATCAAAAAACGTATGCAATTCCATGGGGTAAATCAAGCTGACGTTGGAAAATGCATTTTCCAAGCCAAAAGAAACTTAATTTTTGTACATAAACTTTGTTACAAAGGGCGTGAAGGAGTATAAGGTGAGCGAGCAGGAGGGGTGATAAACGGAAGTGTTTGGCGGTTTTCCGAAGGGGCTGGGCAGAAAAGTGGGCGGAAAACTGGTTGGAAAACTGGGGGAAAACGAATGAAAGTGATTGCCACAAGCAACAGCCAAAGACAACAATGCCAAACTTTGGGCAGAACCAAGGAGTTTCGCCAAAGACTTGGATTCGGGGTATGGATGCTGTGTGGGATGCGGTGGGTGGTGCGGCACGGATGCTTCAAGTGGGTAGCGGAAACGGAAGCGCATTGAGCAAAGTTGCAGTTGTTTGGCTTTTGTTTCGCCATCTCTCCAGTGCCAGCACCAACGCCGCTGCCAGAGCAAAGCATTTTAAGTTAAACAAGCGCCCTCCCTTCCTTTACCTTTTTCTTTACTTTTTTCCCCGTTCTTCCCCGTTCTTTGTCCTTGCATTCCCAGACATCATCAGTGTCCTTTTTCGCGTGCTGTGCGCAATGTAAATGTCAAATATTTTTGAAAATCCTTCTTGGCGCTCGGATTTGTTGCAAACGCTTTTCAAAACTCTTTTTCCTGATTGACTTAAAGTTTTATTTCTTTTCTAGAAGTTGGTAGTTTTTTTGCAGCAGTATGTTCGTATTGTTTGGAAGTTAACAAATGGCTACATTTTATGTGGGATATGTATTTTTCTGTAAGGATATTTTCTGTAAAGAAGATATTTCTGTAAGGATAATAGAAAATTACATCTTTGATTCAAAGAATTTATAAAACTGGCAGTTATGGGCTTGAGTTTTTATGGTTTTCAGCCTAATTTAAAAATAGTATAAATTTATAATCTTAAAATACGTACGTTAGTTAACATAACCGTGTAGATTTTTACTTTTAATTATGCTTATCGTTTGATTATAGAAACTTCCCTATTGTTGAAGAAAGCCTTATGACAGCTTGAGTATTTTCTAGGTGTTTTCTGTTTTCTTCTTAAGTTATTGAATATTCAATTTCAATTTATGGCAAGACAAAGCCTAGTCCTAGCTGGGCCGAAAGTTTTGTTCGATAATTGTGGGGTGGATTCCTTTTCGGCTTGGCTCTCCCTGGGCTTCTTCGACTTGCAGCTCTGGCTCGATAATTATTATGTAAATTGCTTAAAAATTCACCGCAGGTATACCCAAAGGATTCACTTTGCCTCGGCGTCTGAAACTACTCCCTTCCTGCCCCATCGTCTGGCAGCCGTTGCGCTGCATTAAGTTTGATTGCATTAAGTTTGCTTTCGTCTTGCCAGAGGTGAAGCGAATGGTGAAGGTTTCTGGGGTCAGGGGGGCCTGTGGTGGCAGGTCCAAGTGGCAGAAGTGGGCTTGGGCTGCAGGGTGGGGGGACAAAAAGGTAACCCACCTCCCCCTAGTTTCTTGCCGGCTCTTTCCCATTGCCCTTGCCCGATTTCATTGCGCTTTAATCTATGCACTTTGAATTTCTTAGCCTGCATTCCGTATTAGCCAAATTTTGGCATGCTTCGTTGCGTTTTTTGGGGGGACAGGGAGTTTCGGGGCTTAGAGGGAAATTCTTTATTGAACTATCGTGGCACTGTGGATTTATTTTCGACTTTGTTATGTTTTTTAAATACTTTTACTATTTAAATCACTTTTTTAAAATACTTTTGAAATAAAAATATTTGTCATAAAACAAAAAAACAAAACCCGAAACAGAAAACTTGTTTAAGGACCTTTTTTTTTATTTTATTATTAATTATTATTATTATTATTATTAATTTATTATTATTAACATTAATTAAAACTTATCTGTAGATAATATCTCATTTTCATTATAAACCGTCACATTATTATCCACTGTAAATTACTTAGAACCTGTGAAAATTTACCTTGTTGCGCCACCTCCTCTCTACCTTCATCATCATCAAACTTGTCTGTCGCTGGCTGTAAAACCAATTTAATCTTTAGAGATTTTAACACATTCCTCTATACTCCTACATGCATATATAGGGTAGGAACTACTTCCGTTTCCTATTCCATCGTCTTCCTGTTGAGCTTGATGTGATTACCATGGGCTTGCTATTGTTTTGCTTTCTTGCAAATAATTAATTTGTGTGCATTACAGCCAGTCTGACAAGTCGGCTGGCAAATTGCCACATTTCATTGAATTTCAATGAATTTTTTATGGCTGAATGGGCAGCCAAGTTTGTCATTCTAAAGTTGTTGACTTGTGCTAAAGTTAAGTTTTGATTTTACAAAAACATTTCAACAAAAACAATATTTAGACAATCATATATGTTTATATTTTCATTTACAAGGTTGTTTAAATTAAATAATTATTGTGTAATCAATTGATTACACAATTAGCAGATATAACAATAAGGAACAGGATGTTTTCTTAGAATCCACGATTCGTAAAATACAATTTTGTTGC